ATACTGGCTAACGTCTCTGGAATAATGGCAAGTTTCCTTTTGGAGAGGGGGGTATTCAAAGATGTCATCTGAGAAATAATCCCAAATTGGATCACAAAGAAGGATGGCAGCTCATGTCACCAGTCATCAGTGGATGTGGGGATTTTCTAAGTGTGTGGGATGTGAATGAAAGTAATCAGCCAGTGAGATTTTTTTTAAAAGTCTGTAGTCATGATTAGAATACAACTTTTTCTAGGTTGAGAGCTACATTTAGTCTCTGTGTGGCATACTGGAGACTGCACTCCAAACATTAATGAGGAGGTCTAACATAAAATCTTTGTTTTCCCATCATATCATGTACATTTAATTAGAATCAATTATAGCTAATATGATTACTCTGCTATTTTCAGCCCATTTATCTAAGTTATAAAGATAAATCTTATTTCTGTCTTCTCAGATGTTACCTTCAAATTTGATAAAGATTTGGTCCATTTCTATGTGAAATGTTTTAATACAAAGAACAGATACCTCTCTCCAGTTAAATGAGCATTCTGATGATAATTGAGAACAGTTTTCAGGTCTTGTATATCTTCCTGTTATATCATCCAATCCACATTTAAATAGCATACTAATTAAAACATTATGGGTTACCTTATGAAATCCTTGCTGAATTCAATGTATATTTCATTCAATAAATTTCCCACAATCTACTAAGGAAATAATTTGATTTAAAGTTGGGGTATAGTCTGTAAGATTTATTTGTGATCAATTCTTGGTGATTTCTGATAATTCCTGAACTGTTTTCAAGAAGTTTATATAGTATAGATGACTTTATTATTATTTTATTATTTGCTCTAGAATTTCTGAGGCATTGGTGCCCAGCTTTTTGGCCCAAACATGAACAATGTTACACCTTCTCCAGTTATCTAGCTTTTCATTAATTGTCCAAGATTTCTCAAAGACAACACATGATTCTTGGTGAAGCCATCAGTAAGTTATTTCATTACCATTGGAAAAATTTGTCTGGCCATGCACATGTAAATTTATTCACAATAAATTAATATTTCTTTACAATAGTTCTGTGAATCCAAGATTCCCAAGCTTATCCCAAGAATGAACCAACATTGGCATCCTTGTCATGATAAAATATAGTCTTTGGTATTGAACTGGCTTGGGAAAAGAAGTTGGGATATATTTAAAATAGGGCTAAAGATTTGGGTATAAAATTCAGGTGAATACTAGATGACAGCAGTGGATCAGAACTTTTGTGCCTCTTTGTTACCATCTCATAGTCATCTGTGTTTTTACAATTCAGAATTGGTAGCCTTGTGCAAAAGAGCTGTTGTTTCCTTGGAGATGGGGGTAAGAAAACATTTAAAGACTTACTTGATCTATCTCAGTGCACATTCCAATGCACAGTTGTATATATGTTGAAGAAATGCCATCCATTTTCAAAACTCTTCTAATGCAGAAAAGTAAGCCATATGAAAAATCCTGATAAAACAAAGCATAGGTAGGAGAAGGAGTGGTATAACCTGGGAGCAGAGTTAAAAGAGGGATCAGTCTAGAATCCCTACCGAGCCACAAACGAACTAGGTCCAACCTCCCTTGAATTCTGTTGACCCTTATCTAACCCAAAGTAGGTGTTAATTATTAGTTGAGAAGATTCTTGTGCATAGGCATGATTAACAATAAATCAGTTTAATTAGACCCACACCTGTGGACCTGATCTTTCAAGTATGACAGCATGCTTTTCCTACAATTATATATTATACAATTATATAACCTCTCAAATTTCTGCTGACTTTGCATTTGGGTAATTTGCTAATTTGGGGGGGAAATGAGGAAAGTGTTGTAGTTGATTTTTTTTTACACCAAGTTTAATTCAATATACAAAGGCTGTTTTATAGTAAACGTTCAGGTTTCCCTGAATGCAAAACCATGTTTAATAAGAATGGGTAAAGACCAAGTATGGAAACTTTGATTTAAATATGGGGATTTTGATAAATTCTTCAACCTGAGTTAGAGAAACTCTCTACAACAAAAGCAAAAGCCATTCTTACCTGGCCAGGTTCTTCCCAAGCTGCTTAGCTAGAGAATATAAATTAGCACAGTTTGAATAAATTGGCCATATTTTTTTTCTGCATCCAAATTCTGTCATTCTGTTCTTATGAACACACTACAACCTCATCTCTTACAGTTTTGGTTTTGCTCACAAGTTTTTAATATTTATTGGGAAGGAAGCCCAGACCAAACTGTTTAAACCAGTCTTGATCAACTCATCATTCAATACAGTGCACATCATTTTTGCCCAGTATGGTCACTGTACTTGGCCAAGTGCAATTTCTGGAGTAGTTTATCTATCTGCTTTTGTTGTGGCCCACCAGCTGCCTGCGCGGATTGTTGCTGATCCCAACGATGAGGAGGCTGGTGTGGTGTTGCGCCAGCAGCCTGTGCAGCTGGCGCTCGAGTCAGACAGCAAGGAGGCTGAAGAAGATGTGATGTCAGAGGCAGGGATCCAGCCAGGGCCTTCAGAATCTTCAGAGGCTCCTTTAAGTGAAGAAGATGAAGTGGAGGAGCCTCTTCTCAATGCACGAGTATGCCAAGCTGCCAAAAGGCAGGAGTGATTACTCAGGAGGAGGTCTCCTTGAGAGTAAGGCTTGGGGCTAATTGGCCACTCCCTTAGCCTATTTAAGTTTGTACACAGCTTGTAAAAAGCTGCAGGAAACAACGTGTGTTCGTTCGTTCGCTGATCATTGAGTTTGAATTTTCTCTGCAAACCTGGCTTCTGGGCTTTCTGCCAACTCTAGTAAAACACTATCTTATCTGTGGAATTTCTGGCAGGTTGTTAAGAACGTTTTTATTAACAGCCTGTATTTGCAAAAGACTGTGTTTTGAAGTAAACTGAGTTTTGTTCGGAGTTTGTGTGTGCTACATTCTTTGGGATCCATAGCTGGGGCAGAACAGCTTTGCAGGACTGCCTGTTTTGGAGATCTTCAATGCTGTTTCCATTCAAACATCCATACCAGGCCTTCAGAGAGAATAGACTATATAAAATAAAGAAGTTGCATAAAATTATATGAAATTTTGCACACCGGGACAAGAAAGCTAGACATTTGCACTAGTGCCATTCACATGCCAGATTGATCATGCTGTATGTTCATTTAATCCATGAAATGGGGTTAAAACTGTAATTTGGTCTGTCACAAGTCATTAAAAACTTGTTTATCTTTTCTTTGATATGGATTTGTGTGTGTATGTGTGTAGGAAATGACAGCCTGCTTTTTGTAAACATAAAACTAATAAAGCTCAGCAGGCCAAGATAACATAATGTATTCTAATTAAAATCTGCATCCGGAAAAGCACATCACAGAGCACGGCTGGCTTGATTTGTTTTGGCTGCTGTAATTTAATAGTTTTGTTTTAGTCAGTGCGCCTCAATTGTAAAAGCACAATCTTACATGGAGTAGGTATTGCATTGTAGAGATCTCAACTGATGCCTTTCTGCACATTATATGGATTTAGGCATTATACTGAAATGGGAAAAATTCTCAATTGTGCCATTATGGCCTCTGAATTCATTATTTAAATGTTCCCTAAGAACCCTTCCTTCTGTATGTATCAGGAAGAGAGGTATTCTATGGCTGCCTCTTTAGTGGATTAACTCAGTGCACATACTATTATTTACTTCATGTAATATCAGCCCTGTGAGGGAGTCCAGACAAGAAGCACACCCACAAGTATTAACTCTATATTTATTGTAAAGTTCCATTAACAGAATGTTGCATGTCTGAAAATACTGTACATCTTCCTCTCACACCTGGCCCTTACAGTCCAAGAAATTAGGAAGGATCCCTTTTGAAAGCAACTCCATTCCTTCTATAGACTCGGCCACCTCTTATTTGATTGTTGCCTACTCTGTGGCTTTTCCTCAAGGTCATTCTCACATACCATTACAGTTGAAGAAGAGTTTGAGGTGGTATAACCCCAAGTTTCTCCTGTACATTTGCATGCAATGGTAATCATTTTAAATTGTTGACTCTATAGAAATGGCCTGATATCTCTCAGCCTGGAATCCGTAGAGCATTGACTTTCTATTCTAAAATAGTCAGCTACATACAGTTCCAGAGAAGACGGAGAAATGACATATATAAAAGGCTCTTAGATCAGTCCAATTCTCAAAACATTTTTCTGGCAGAAGGCTATTTGAAAATTTCAAAGTATTGTTTTTAGATCTCTGCCAAGAAATGGTGGCCATGATAATCCTTAAGGAGCTATCAAAAACAGGCTGCATGATTTCTAATGTCTCATTAATGAGCTTGCTTGAAACAGTAACACATGACTGTGTTATTATTCTCCTACAACTTTAATATACTATGGACTCATCATATGAAATGATTATGCTTCTAATTAAATCACAGCAGCTATTTTAAAAAATGCTTTATTGTTAGTGGTGATAGATATTTGTGTGCAGCAGCCTGGGGCCTGTAAACAACTTTTAGCTAGGTAAGGCACAAAAAAAAATACTGGATGGCAAAGTCATGATTTGTGTCGACATTGATGTATTATGAGTAGAGTTTTCTGTTTCATTGCAGCCATCAGCTTAGATGTTGCTTTTGTCAGATCATTATAGCAAAATTTCCACTGAGACTGAAAACTCTAGAAGATGATGATTATTACTGCTTATCTTTTCAAAATTCAGCAGTTTCCTGGAAATGTTCTATAGGTACAATTGTTTTTGATGGATGAAGAGTAGGCTGGAGAATGTATTTCAGATAGGAGTAATGGCTAGTACTTGTTTGTATACTGGATTGGTACCTCTAAACGGATCAAGGCAGATTGATTTCCATCTCCAAGATATACTCATAGTCAACTTACTACAGAAGCTGCAAAAGAGATGTACCTTGAAAAATACATATTCTCTGTTAATTAATTATTAGCCAAAGGCAAATTACATTTCCATATAATCCACATCATTAATTCCTTGTCTATTTCTCTGGTTTTTTTTTTTTTTTTCTTAGCCATAATGAAAGACGGAACACTTTCCTTCATCCAGTGATTGGCCAGACCCCAGGAGAGAACAACCATTTTGGATTGCAAAGGTTGGTGGTTTTTAGTGCCTTGCAATATTGGACATAAAATGGAAGTTCATGAAAGAACATAGAGCATAAAATTTAAGGATGAAAAATATCAAATGAAAGAAAATAGTCTCTTAGTTGTCTAGAAGTTTAGCTCAAGAAAAAAGGGCAGGGATTTGCCCAAAGGAGATTTGTATTCTGTCTGATTTGATGAATTCCTGGTTTAAGTTAATGTTAAGATCAATACATGGACATGTATTTGTGGTATGGAAGTATAAGAAGCAAAGTCAGTTTCTTGGGATTGTTAATGATGTATTTTTCCTCTCCTTCACCTGCAATCCCAGATCTGTCTTTGACATGTCAAGCAAAGCAAGTAGCAAGCGGCCGGCAGCAGTCACCAGTGAATCTTCTAATCACACAATGGTTTCAGAGGTACCTCAGGAACGACCAAATGGCAGGGTATGTTTGCTATATTGTGCATTGTGGTCTTGCATATTTTTCTTTTTGTGGCTCTGTTCTGATAGGGTTGTCCAAACCTTCTGGCTGTCAAGTTTTCCCATCTGAAAAATAAGGTGTAATTGATCTGCTACTGTGAAATTCACAGCACTATAGAACAACCTACCACATTGTTGTTCAAAGTTTAAAATCATGTTTGCAGTTATTTCACTTCATGCTGTCCAGGGGTAGGTTCTAATTTTTTTTACTACCGGTTTTGTGGGCATGGCTTATTTTGTGGGCGTGGCTTGATCGTCATGTGACAATTCTTTAGGATTTAGCAGAGGTAGTGGTCTACCAGACTTTTAACTGCTTGCAGAGCTGTACCGGTCTACCCATTTGTTTTTGGAGGCACCGGTCTACTCATTTGTTTTTTCAGGCACCGGTCTACTCATTTGTTTTTTCAGGCACCAGTCTACTCATTTCTTTTTGGAGGCACCGTCTACCACCACACTGCCTTTTAACACTGATCAGCTGTAGGGCAGCCCTTTGAAGCCCTGCGGCAAGAGTTTAAGCAGGTTTTGATCAGCTGGGACTCATGAGGCAGCAATAGATTGGGGGTGGGGGCAAATAAAAGGTAAGAATAACCAGAGGGGCTGGGGCGGGCAGGGGTGGCAGAACCCGTTCGGTGATGTCATATTGTCACTGCTACCAGCTCGGGGGAACCAGGCCGAACCAGAAGGAACCCACCACTGATACTGTCCAAGGAGAACTAGTTGATATTGAAATATCTTAGCATAAATGGCACACATGTAAAAATTCTACTTCACAAAAATTAGACATCTTTTTAAGGCCAAATGTCATAGCCAGCATGTACCCAAGATTATGAGTTTAATCCATATTTAGTCATGCTTAAAAATTGATCCATTGGTACTCAGTTAGAGATAAGTTAATCATGTCTTATTGCTTTCAGTGTGCCTAATATTCTAATATTTATTTATCAAATTTATACCCTCAGAGTTCCAAAGGAGTCTAAGTGGTTCATAAAATATAAATCAATTAAAAAGTCAAAACTAGAACTAATATAAAGGATATAACAAGAATATAACAAGAATAAATGATACAAAAACTCAACAACCATCAGACTTAATATAATTAAGCAGGATTTCATTGTATTACCCACTGCTTGTTTTGCCTGCCCCAAACCTTTCTGTTTTATTTCCCAAAGGCATCATCACGTACTTCCAGGAAAGGAATTGCTTTTGGAAAACGTTCTAATTCCATGAAGAGGAATCCCAATGCTGCAGTGACCAAGAATGGTTGGCTCTTCAAGCAGGTAAACCATCTGTACTTCAGAAGATATTCATAGCCCCTAAGCTGCAAGTACATTTTGAAGGTCCCCAAACCAATTCCTGATTCTGTTGGTAAATTAGATCCACAGTTTAATGCCGAAATTCTTTTACAAAATGTTCCATACCCACGTACATAATTAAGTAGTTATTTGAGGGCTTCTGGGTTCTTTTCTGGACTGTCCAATTTGACAACACAGCCATGATCACTAAAGTATCTTTAGCCCTACCAAACATGACTTTCATCCACTAAAATTAGAGCAAATGCTATTTGGTGTGCTAAAGGTTGCCCATCTTTGCACAAGCTTCTCCTATTTTTCTCTCATCACAGTCCAGTCTTCATGCTTTAGGACAGTCAAGGAAATGCTTTTTAACTCACTACTTGGTTTTTCTCGTAAGTTCTTATTGAGCAAGAAAATGATTTGAAAGTCATTGGCTTATTTGATCATTCCACCGGTGAGTTCTAGTGCTGCCTTAGGCATGAAAGTCAGCTGGGTGACTTTGAGCTAGTCACTCTTCTCAGCACCACCCGCCTCACAAGATTATTGTTGTGGGGAAAATAGGAGGAGGAAAGATAATTATGTGTGTTCACCACCTTGAGTTACCTATGAAGTAATAAAGGCAGAGATAGGTAGGTAGGTAGGTAGGTAGGTAGGTAGGTAGGTAGGTAGGTAGATAGATAGATAGATAGATAGATAGATAGATAGATAGATAGATAGATAGATAGATAGATAGATAGAATCAGTCCATTTGGATTGCTATGCACTATATCATTCTTGGATTAAAAATATTGGGATTGCTATGCAACTGATCAAGATCTCTGCCTGACTTCAAAGGATTGGTTTTTTTGGAGCTAAGGCTCCTTCTCATAGGTCCGTGATGGCAAACCTATGACACGCATGCCACAGGTGGCATGTGGAACCATATCTGTGGGCACACAAGCGTTGCCCTAGCTCAGCTCCAGCGTGCATGCATGCGCCGGCCAGCTGATTTTCGGGACTTCCGGTCCCACCGGAAGTCGGGAAACAGGCCATTTTCGGCCTCTGGAAGGCCTCTGGGGGGTGGGGAAGGCCATTTTCACCCTCCCCAGGCTCCAAGAAAGCCTCTGGAGCCTGGGGAGGACATAAATGGGCCTATCAGGCCCAATGTGCCATCGCGTGCCAAAAGCGGGAGGAGTGGGGGGGGTCCCATCTGCATGTGGGGGGAGGGTCCACTCATAATTATGGGTGTGGGCATGCGCATGACCCCCCCTGCACTCCCCCCACTTTTGGCATACGATGGCAAAAAGGTTAGCCATCACTGTCATAGGTATTTCCCTCCCAGTCACACTGGAGGCAGACCTTAGAGTAGATCTGTTGCTGCTTCCTATGGAAGGGGATAGCTTCATCCCCAGTTTTGGTTCTGTCTTTTTCCAAAGAGCATGTGAGTCTATCAGTTCTGCCAAGGACTCCCTTAAATCTACAATTCTCCTTTTTAATGGTTTTTTTTTTAATTCAATTTTTATTTACTGCTAACATTCCCTAACATTTAAAAGTGGATTAAAATATTGTATAAATCCAAAACAAAGAGATCATTTTCAGAAGTGGCTTAAGCATACGTTTCCTAAATTCATTGGAGTGTAAAAAGGAGGAAGTACGGCACAATCAGATTTGCAAGATTCAGTTATTAGTCAGTAAAAGTAGTTTTAGTCTGCAGGATCCAGTCTGGGTCAGTCACCCGGACCAGAGATTTAGTCTTCCGAGTTTTCGTACTCATGCTGGAGCCCATCCTCAGGGAACTTATCTCTTTCCAAATGGATCAAATCATGCTTTGGACTACCCTATGAGACATAGAATAAGGGTGTCCCACAGGACAAATGGGCAGATAATAAGCTCCTAGGAGACATCTATAGAGTGGGCTCATGGTTCTCCATGTCCTCTTCCATTAAAGCTGAACTCTTACGTTTGGCCAAAGCATCCTTTCCAGCAACACTCCCCTCCCCCCAATATGTGAGAGACAGCTCTGATGTGTTCCACCATAGGGTGCTTTGGCTTCACTGTAAGAAAATGATACATTGAAATTGGAGAAGATCCAATTTCTATAGTGGAGAGAGGCCATTCAGTCCACCTACCTATTACGGGAAGGAGGGAATGTTTACAGAAAATTGCACATCACAGACGCCTTATTTCTTCTTTCTCAAGTGTGTGTTTGCTGAGATTGCCTTCTGACTTGTCATTCTGAGACTGGGGACCAAAGTGTTCCCTCTCACAGGAAGTAACTTCAGAACTAATCTAGATACCGCTTCCACAGCAAATGGGTGGGAGATATTCTATTCTAGATTCCATAGTTCTTGTCCTATCCTACCTAGCAATTCTATTACTTTGTCTGACCTCAGCCTGTCATGCCATTTTTTTTTTCACAGGATACGTTTTCAATCTATGCTGTATGTAGTATCCAAATTACGACATTTATTTGTTTTCAACAACTCTTTACAGGCCAGCTCTGGAGTCAAGCAGTGGAACAAGCGCTGGTTTGTATTGGTGGATCGCTGCCTTTTTTACTACAAAGGTATGAGGAGATTCAAGTTTAAAATTAAATATTAAAATTATATTTAATTATATATTAAAATATAAAGATATAAGGAAACTCCCAGATGCCAAACATAGTTTGAAAGCAATGGCAGGAATGTATGCATTCATTTTCTGTATATCTTATCAAACTAGATTTTCACCTTCACGCCCTCTATTGAGGAACAGTACTGCTATTATAGGAGAGACTGGTTTATTTTTTTATCTATAAGGGATGCAATATTTTCATGGTTTAGGAGAGATAGGAAAGGCAATATTTCTGTTGTGACGTAGGCCCAAGGAGTTATTACCTGTTGTGGCCCGCCAGCGGCCTGCGCGGATCGTGGCTGATCCCAACGAGGAGGCTGGTGTGGGGTCGTGCCAGCAGCCTGCGCAGCCGGTGCTCACATCGGACAGCGAGGAGGCTGAAGAGGATGTGGTGCCAGGGCCTTCAGAACCTCCAGAGGCTCCTTCAAGTGGAGAGAGCGAAGTGGAGGAGCCTCTCCTCAATGCGTGAGCACGCAGGGCTGCCAAAAGGCAGGAGTGGCTACTCAGGAGGAGGAGGTCTCCTTGAGAGTAAGGTTTGGGGATAATTGGCCACTCCCTTAGCCTATTTAAGTCGCACGCAGTTAGTAATTTCTTGCTGGAAACAACAGAGCATTTTGGAGAGTGAGTGTCTTATCGTATCTTGTTTTCTGGGCTGGTTGCCAACCTTTGCCAGACTTTGTTTATTTTTGGTACGTTATAACTTTGATAAGGACCGTTGGTGTGTGTCACAATCCTTGGGAATCCAGAGCTGGGGCAGAACATTACCAGACACAATCAGTCCTAAAAACATATTTTATTAGAACAGCTGAGAATTACTTCATTCTCAGCTTAGTCCAAATTAAGTCCAAATTAAGTCCAAAACAAATTCTTAATAAACAGTTCTTCGGCCTTATCACCAACGGTGACTTCTTTGGCACCCTGTCAAAAGCTTTTCTTGGCAAGAAGCAAGAGATTCTGACACGAAACAAATGTAGCAAGACAAGAGATAATTGTAGCAACGTTGTTTTCCTACAAAGATCCCAAGAGCCGTTGCTGCTCTTTTAAGCCTTCTGGGAGGGGCCAATCATCTCCTGGCCTTACTCCCGAGTCGTTCTTTTTGCTTTAGCTGCTCTTGCCTTCTGGCAGCTCTTCGCATGTGTGCACTAGGAACAGGCTCCTCCTGTTCCTCTGCCTCTCTGCTATCCGCCTCTGGAGGCTCCAGAGTCCATGCATCACTCCCAGATGGCCCTGGCCTCATCTCTGCCTCCGATGCAGAGCCCTTGTCCGGGCTTTCCCCTGACTCCAGGACTGGCCAATTGTCCTCCCAGCCTCCTCATTGTCCAACTCCGCTGCCAGCTCCACAGTCTGCTGGCAGACCACAACAATTTCTTCAGTATGTACTTGAGAAATGCCATTCTACACCATGATGTGTAATAATTGTTGCCAACTGGATGGTTGTAAAGGAGACAACCCCACTCCTTTGATGGTAATTACAGAGGGCAGCCTACAGTTCTATGGTAAAATACTACTGGATAACCCATGACCCATTGAGTCATTGTTTCAGAGAAATTTGCTTACTTAGACAGACAAACCACTATGACCATGGGTGGACAAAAAAAAGCAGTGGGAGCAGGAGCAAGTTCCAACTTCCTGCCAGCTTCCCCATTGACTTTGCTTGTGGGAAGGTAGCCAGGAGCATCGGAAGTTATGATAACATGACCTCAGCGATTCGACAACTGCAGGGCAGTATGGTGACACTGCAGTGGACACAACTTTGCCAGTGCAAGTGGTATGAAGATCCTTGAAATTTCAGTCCCCACAATGGGCCTGATGCCTTTGGATGCATTCTTTAAGTTAACCCATTGGAGGTACCTTGATTCAAAAATAGTTGCTCTCTGATGCATGCTTCCTGCCAATTGTGGATTACAATTAGACAGACAGGAGAGTTGAAGTACAAGTGAAAAGTGTAGATGTGTTACTGAATTTATGTCTCAGCTGGCTGCCTGTTACCTAGCTGGCCACTATGAAGGTAGAATGCTGGATAAGATGGTCCTTTGATCTGCTGTAGCAGGATTCTTATGTTTTTGTAATATTATTTTGCAATAATGTACTTTAACTCTTTCTGGCCAAACAATATAATTTTCCAGCAATACATAGGAATAATTTCTCAGATTAGTGATTACCCTCCCTTCCCTTCCCTACCCCCTCCCTCCCTCCCTCCCCCTCCCTCCCTCCCTCCCTTCCTTCCTTCCTTCCCTTCCTTCCTTCCTTCCTTCCTTCCTTCCTTCCCCAGCAAGTCCTTAGCTATTTTATCTAGCAATTAATTTTCCATTTTGCAATACTGCAGTTGAATGGCTGAATCTATAAGGTCAAAGGCTCAAGGTCCTAGACCTGCTCTTCCAGAAATCTCCTGAATCTTCTCACTCTACCCTCACCTCCACTTTGAGGGAGCTTGATAATTAGAATCTGTGCTGCCTTTTGTGGCAATTAAATGCTAAAAATATTTTAAAATGAAACAATTTTAATAGTGTCATTTCTTGCTATGTTGTACAGAGGGATGTGGCAAGTAGTTTCAGCCTTTTCTTCTCCCCATGGGAGATAAATTAATCTCAAAGAAGATAAGCAAAATAAAATAAAATACCTTTTAAACTTTAAATACCGTATTCAAAATACAAGCATTCAGTTTTGGAGGAGATAAATGCCACCTGATTAAAAAGAAAAATATAAAAAGATTGTGATGCTTGGAGCCAGCTACAAAAGGATTCTAGTCTGATGCAAATAGGAGTTTCTCTTGCAGAGTCTCAATTTACTACCAAGCTCAAGGAAGTTATAAATACAGACAATATCTTCATAGTCTGAAAAATAGGATAAAGTCTAAAAGTAGGGAGAATTTCCTCAGTAATAATAGGTAATTTTTATATGTGGCATGATATTTCTAGTAGTCTAGCAATGTAATTAGTTCTCTAAAACAGATGATTTGGGTATTCTTGTTGTTGCCCTTTCACAAACTTTGATTGATTGATTGATTGATTGATTGATTGATTGATTGATTGATTATGTGTCCTCAAATAGAAATTTATCATTCTGTGTAATATCCTGTTTTCCTTTGGACTTACTGGAACAATTAAGATCTGACAATGAAGATGCATGCATGACATTGCAGTGCATATATATTTATTTAATTTATACACAGCTGTCTACTCTGACTCCATGTCACCCACAACCAATGCAACTCTTTTATTTTTCCATATTCTGCCTGCCAAATTGTGAGCCCAACAATATCAGTATGAATAGCTGTCCTGTAACCTTTGGTTCTCACAGTCCTGCTGCCTGGGCCTTTTCTCTGGTAGCAGATGGAAAAGATGATGATCCTGAATAATTAACTAGACAGTATTGTGAGGTATAACTGTAACTGAGATGCATACAGGGATATGTGAGCGCTTGCTAGTCTGAACTGGAGAGAAGAGCAAGCATGAATGCATCAGGGCAAGGGGGGCACCTTTCATAGGTAGATAAATAGTTTATTTAATAGATAAATAGTGATTATTTTCAGGTCTTTCTTCCTGCCTGCCTGCCTGCCTAGAAATTACCCTATGCCCCTGGATTGTTTCTTAGTTGCAACGGTGATGAAGTAGATGGATGTCCATTTTAACAATTGTTAACTAAGATAAAGGAGTGTTGTCTAATTCTTTGTCCCTCCCTTTTTCTATCATGCAGATGAGAAGGAGGAAAGCATCTTGGGCAGCATCCCACTTCTCAGTTTTCGAGTGGCAGCTGTCCAGCCATCGGATAACATCAGCAGGAAATATACCTTTAAGGTCAGTAAAGAGAAGAAGTGGTCCTTGTATAGTGTTCATGAATGTGTAAATAGATTTTGTTCTGCTAGTAGAAATGTTTCGTAGGCTAACAGCACTATCTGAACTGGACCAAGTAGAAACTTTATTTAGAGGGGAAACAGCATTGTATCACACCCTTAAAATCTAGTTGGATTCCTAGAGTATACATTTGTACCTGCATGTATGATGTCAATGTACTGAACATGTATATTCTATGAGATCCTAAATCCTACGAGATTTAGCTCCAAATTCATTCTATCCTCCTTTCACTTGATGGATATTAATTCCTGTGAGTCTAGATTTGGTCAAATAGATCATATAATGTTTATTGAATAAATCTAGAGAATTGAAAGATCTTGTGGGACAGATTACAAAATATGTGTTCATTTAGAGATGTTTGAAGATTGTTTCATATGCAAAAAAATGCAGTATACGCTTTCTTTTCTATCTCTTCTCCTTATTTTTCTTTTTGTCTATCCACCATCTTTTTCTTACTTTTTTCTCAGTAGGTATTGCTTTTATGCTGCAAAAAAATTCTTAATAAAAATAAATTTTAACAAATTTCCAGTACACTCAGTGAAAATTAATTACTAGATGTAAGTACGTGCACATCTACATGTTACATATATCACGTACTTTTCTTATTGCCATCTTGCCCATTGTATTGTTCCCTAACTCCTTTCTACTCATTGAAACCGCTTGCTCTTCAGATGTTTCAAAACTGTCCTGTGTAATATTTGTTCCCTTTTTAATGATGATGAATTGGTTTTGATTGGAAACCACTAATACATGAGTTTACTTTGTAAATCTTCCTACATGTCCTACATGTGCACATACGTGTACTACATGTGGTATATATATATAAAAAAGTTGTACTTAAAAATGGCACAGGGACTCCGAAGGTAAACATGTTTTTCAGGACAACTTGGCTGATACCATTGCATTAGACAGGATCTCAGAGTGTGTGTATATATATATATATATATATATATATATATATATATATATATATATATATATATATATATATATATATGTTTTCTGAGGTTTTCGTGGGTGTTTGTATGTAGGTCTTTGGTTATTCGGGTTTTCTCACACGTAAAATTGGAGGTGTCTTGGCAACGTTTCGACGAAGTCTCATTCGACATCTTCAGGCTGGTGTTTTTGGCTTCGTGCTTCTAGGAGCAATGTGTGATTGCAGCTGTTTCTTCCTTTTAACTGCCAGTGGGGGTGTGAACTGATTGGGTGGGAGCTTGGCTGTGTTCTGATTGGGTGGAGGTGTGTTCTGATTGGTTGGGGGTTTGGCTGTGCTCTGATTGGATGGGGGGTTGGCTGTGCTCTGATTGGATGGGGGTGTGTTCTGTTTAGGTGGGGGCTTGGTTGTGCTTGGGTTAGTCTGAGTTGCAGGGGGATTTGAGCTGGTGAGCTGTGTTGCTGTTGTTTGGCTTCACATTCGTGGTCATGCCACATCTTCATGGTGGGTGTCAGTTTGCTTCATGTATGGATTGGAGGGGTTTAAAGTGGCTAATGATGCAGCTGTGGTCTGGCTTCTGGTTTGTGGTCATGCCTCATTGGTGTGGGTTTGCTTTTTGCGTGGATGTGTGGTGGTGACATCCTGTGTGGTTTTCTGTGGGTCTGGTGTCATTCTTTGTGTTACAGGACATGATATTGACTTTAAAAAGACTAGAACTATCACCAAAACTGAACACTTTAACAACAGAATAATCAGAGAAGCCATTGAGATAAAAAAACACCCACACAGCATGAATAAATGAGATGATACCTCCCGCCTACCAGCCATTTGGAAACCTGCCCTCATTGACAAATGAGTCCCTAACACAAAGAATGACACCAGACCCACACTCACAAAAACCACACAGGATGTCACTACCACACATCCACGCAAAAAGCAAACCCACACCGATGAGGCACAACCACAAACCAGAAGCCAGACCACAGCTGCATCATTAGCCACTTTAAACCCCTCCAATCCATACATGAAGCAAACTGACACCCACCATGAAGATGTGGCACGACCACAAGTGCGAAGCCAAACAACAGCAATGCAGCTCACCAGCTCAAATCCCCCTGCAACTCAGACTAACCCGAGCACAACCAAGCCCCCACCTAAACAGAACACACCCCCAACCAATCAGAACACACCTCCACCCAATCAGAACACAGCCAAGCTCCCAACCAATCAGTTCACACCCCTACTGGCAGTTAAAAGGAAGAAACAGCTGCAATCACACATTGCTCCTAGAAGCATGAAGCCGAAAACACCAGCCTGAAGATGATGAATGAGACTTCGTCAAAACGTCGCCAAGACACCTCCAATTTTACGTGTGAGAAAACCCGAATAATCAAAGACCTACATATATATATGTGTGTATATATAACATCTTAGAGAAGAGTATCATATTTCCAAATCAGTAGGAGTTCAGTAGGAATTATTCTGAAGTAACGTGCCTAGATTTTCAATATTTGTAAGAAAACAAAAACCATGAAAGTACAATATTGATCTTCTCCGAACTTCAGTATTGATGACAAGATAGCCAAAATTTATTTATTAATAATTATTGTGCTCTCAATTCATGTTCTGAAAAAAATTATAATGGTATAATAGACTATTCACATAGATAATCGACATGGGTGGGATGGGTAGATCTAGAAATATAATTTTTGACTTCATCCTACAGTTTATAGAAATATTATTTTACATCATGTCCTATTGCTGTAATATTTGAACCTACATTTTCCCCTAGCATTTTGAGACAACTCTCTGAGGGCTGTCCATGAGCTAAGATGCAAGGACTAGTTTTCCCAAGTTCAATGAAAGCCAAGTTGACCATTCAGTTTAAAGCTCAGAAAGCACTAAGTATGAGCCCAGTTCTGCTTTAGCAACCCATTCACAGTGACCACCTTTGCTCTTGGTGTGCTTTGCCTGCTGATATTCCTCCCCATTGAATTGCTTATTGGGTGTGGCTGATCTGTTCTCTGTCTTCCCTGTTTTTCTGTGTGAGGATCCCCTGGACAGGAGATCTCTTCTGATTACTGGTCTGCAATACATCACCCAGCCACCAAATAGGTAGTGTTTTCCTTCTGTTTCCAAATGCATGCATGCATGCCAGAAAGGAAAAATGAAGTACCAATGATAAAAATGATCCTGCATGCTTTATTCACCTGCAATCATTCCCAAAGGAAATTGTGGTGGGGGAAATTTTGAATCCCTTTGTCTAATGAAATACCTAGAAGTATTTTTTTAAAACCATGGAGAATACTGGAAACCCAGAGCTATATAAACAAACCCCACTGAGGATGTAGATCTTGAAATCATTACTGTTATATGACTTGCACATACATAAATGTTCATATTATGGGTTTCACTCACTGATTTGTGGAAAATAATATCTAGCTCAACAAAATGAAAGTCAAGAAGGTATGTAGTAGTTAATGAGTGGCAATTAATTGTGAGACAAAACTGATGGGTAAATATAAACAAAAACTAAATTATGCTATTCATTCTCTACTGTGAATATTTAATGTACATAATAAAATATGTAATATATGAGCCCAATTGTGTGTGTTATATTGATCAGTAAATTTCATTAAAAGATCTGGATTTTTTTTTTCCAGGATCATTGAAACAGGCACACTACAAATGAGCTGGTTATATTCAGACAAAGAATTTGAATTTAGCTAATTCTAGAAATACTTTGATCTGGATTTGTAGCCCCATAGGATTGTTTTAAACAGAATGTGGTTGCCTCTATTGGTATTTTTTATATGCATGACTAGTCTTTTTATCCTAGTCTTCAGAAAAACTGTGGTATTACCGTGTTTCCCCCAAAATAAGACCCTGTCTTATATTTTTTGAACCCCGAAATAAGCGCTTGGCCTTATTTTCGGGGAGGTCTTATTATTTTGGGGCATGTGGAGCAAGATGGGGCTCCTCTTGCTGTCTTACCTGATTTCTAGCTCTACGTTTAAATATTTTTTGGGAGGGCTTATTTTCGGGGGGGAGGCTTATTTTAGTGCATGCGCTCAAAAGCCCGACTGGGCTTATTATCAGGGGATGTCTTATTTTAGGGTAACAGGGTAGTTCATGAGCAAGCTTTATTTAGGCTCAAAACATCCATACAGCAAATTACAAATATAATCTAAAACTTGGCAGTTTCAAAAATAATCTTTCCTTTGTGGGTTTTTTTTATCTGAAAATCTTCAGCTTTTAACATATTGAAACTCAGGAATGAAGTACATACAGTAAAAGTCTCTGTGTGTGATTTCCTAGACTCTGTTACATTTTAACCTGATGAAGAAATGGTTCATGCTGGGGAAAGTAAACAGAATATCATGCACTGCACAGCTGAGAGCAGTCAAATTTTGTCTATGTCCCAAATGCTGAGATAGCATTGTTAGGGAAGATTTAGTACTCCCTTTAGTGATTTCTCTAAGCCAAGAACTATGTCTGTTGTGAAATTGTAATCTTATTAAAAATCTGCAAGGAAATGGAATGTGAATACTTCTCTGTGGAGAATTCTTAGCATTGACATTCAAAAATCACTCTACCACTACTTAATCTATCCCTCCTTAATTTTTCCCTCTGATAAGAAAAAAGATGGCAGAAATGATGGGATAACATTGAAGTGTAACAGGTGGAAGATCACACTATCTGGAATGCTGTGAATGAAGATGTTTACAAAAATTAGGAAGTTTGAGAGATCTTTCTTCCTTGTTTGTGTTAGGAAGAGATATTGAATGTCTTGGAACTATTCCCAAAGCAGTAAATTTGTATTATCTGAAGTTTAATGTTGGCAGGTTTATGTTAACTCTTTCATTATTTTAATTTGGATCAATAAGTTACAACAAGCCATTTCACAGTAGGTTTTGTTCTCCCTACCATAAAAATGATTATCAAGGAGTTTAGCAAAGACAATCTGAGTAGAACCAGTATTTTGCATGCTTTTCCACTTACACTTTTTGGCTTATGCATGTCGTGCAAGGGGAGAGCTTTCATCCATGGTGCTGGAGAGCCAGAGGTGGTATCTTTGTATTAGAATTAGTGGAATTGGTTTGTGCTAAATTTTGAAGAGGATAATCTTCCTTTTAAAGGATGGTCAGGATTACTTTTCTGTTTGAAAGCAGTGTCTATTTGAACAAATCCAAAAATTGTTTAAAGATAAGAGCTGACAATCATGAAATGAAAATTTAGTGAAATTATAATGTTCCTAAGGGAAAGAAAACAAAATTGATTGCTGGTGAGTAAACTCTCTAGACACTTACTGGGATCTTTTTATCTCCCTTTCTCTCTTTCTATTCTTCATTTCTGCAGGTAACTGTATGTTGGATGGAAGAGATGCCACGAAATCACAAGAAGTCATTCTCTCCTCAGGCTGAACATGCTGGCATCCGGACCTATTTCTTCAGTGCTGAGAACAATGAGGAACAAGAATCCTGGATTCAAGCCATGGGCGAGGCTGCCCGGGTTCAAATCCCACCTACTCAAAGGTCAGTTGATCAAAAGATGGGTGGCAGGATTTTAGAACTGGTTGTGGACATTTCACTCTGCTGAATACACTATATAAGGGTGTTGCATCTATTGCTAAGTTCTATTTTATTTTAGATGAACTTGGAAGATGCTAGTGGCATGGCTAGTAAAATACTAACAAATGCATTGTCTCATATGGCATCATTCTATAGCTGTAAGGTTCTTTCTTCAGTGGAATTAAAATAATTGCTTTAAGACAATGTGAAAATGGTAGGTTCATGAGAAAGCTCAATCCATAATAACTTAAACTGTTATATCAGATCTGCAGGAGGATGGTCAGAACCCACAGTAAACTAGAATCCCTTGTTTAGGATATGCCAATCCTAAAATATAGTAATGAATGCACTTATGCATTCTTCTCAGGCATGAAAAGACTGACTGTGAGAACCTTCCTCCTAGCAAAAATCATCATCATCATCACCAGCGCAGTATCCTTACCAGGGAGCTTGCCAAAGCTGAGTTGGAAGCAAAGACCAGAGGAGAAGGTGATGGACGTGGTTCCGAGAAGATTGAAAGAAAACCAGAGCGTGTTGCAAATAAGAAAGAGGCACTGGTGAAAACCAATGGCATTGCCAGTCAGGATACACCCTCTGAGCCCGGAAGCCCTTATCCAGAAGCAGCTCGTGTGCCAGCTGGAGTGGAGAGAACCCCACAGCCAAATGGTTGGCAGTATTCATCTCCAACTCGTCCTGGCAGCATGGCCTTTCCCCAGCATGATGGGGATACTGTTATCTCTCGTCGGAGCTTCGCACCTCGCACTAATCCAGAAAAGATTGCTCAGAGGAAAAGCTCCATGACCCAGTTGCAACAGTGGGTCAATTTGCGACGTGGAGTTCCCCCACCTGAAGATCTCCATAGGTGAGTTGTTTGAACACATGAGATACAAAAAATAACACAGATAACTTTTTTAAAAATTTTTTTGTTTTTTTTAGAAACACCTCATTAAATACTGAGAAAAAAGTCTATGTTGCAGATTTAAATTGGTACCTAAGGTCCTGAAATATGTTGGCATTTTATACTTGGTACCACTCCCTCTTCCCCAAATAATTGTCCATGACCTTAATACACGAGGCTGTAACAATTTCAGTTTCTTTTCTGAAAAAAAAAACCCATCATCTTCTCTGGGTGCCTTGGAATATGTTATTTTAAAAATTCACAATTGGTTTATATTTAGTGTTCTTGCATCCAGAAGAGCAGAAAAAGTATTTGGTAAGCAAATATTTAGCTTATTTACCAAGTGTTCCTGATCATGGAATGAAGTAATTATTATTATTATTATTGTATTTTTTTTTTAAAAAAATTGTTTGTCAGCTGCTCCTTTTAGAAAGTTTTCAGAGTACTCTGTAGGAATAAACATAGTCCAACAATATAAATATCGAGTGAGAGAAAATAAATACTAGCAAAAAAGCACAAAGAGATGAATATCTTTCCACTGTTAAGTTTACTTTTTGACATATGGACAATGAACTTTACTGATTTGGGGCAGTTCAGTGATCCAAATCTACAAGTCACAGTTTTAGTCCAAGTACCAAAGCAGCTTTTATCCTAATTGAACCTTATAAAGTTCAGCTTTCACATGTTATTTATCAAAAACTGACATATGTATGTATACTGTGCTACTCAAGGAGGTAGATCACGTGCAGGAGAGGAAACTAGGAGGGTTTAACAACCTTAATTATGAAGAATAAAAAATTAAGAAACACAAGCAAACAATGTAGTGAAACAATTGGAGACAAAATACACCATTAAGGCTTAAGACAAAACTGCAAATTTTGCAGCTTCTCCCAGTTTTACACATAGAAATCTGTGAAAAATATATCAGTACTGTTCAGCAGATGGTAGGCTGAGATTAACATAGTTATAGAAAATCCTAAAACCCCATACCAAATGTTTACCTTTCTTGTTTCTTTTGGGACTTGTAGCCCCAACAGATTCTTCCCAATGTCTCGGAGAGTACCTGATTATTACCCTCCCTATTCATCCCAGTACTCGGAGGATTACCAGTACTATCCACCTGGTGTGCGTCCTGACAGTATCTGCTCTATGCCTGCCTATGAACGTGTGAGCCCTCAGTGGGCTGTGGAGGACAAGCGCCACCCCTTCCGCAACAGCAGCTCATTCCAGCTGCGGGAGTGGAAAGAACAGCCCGGCTATAGCAGACAAGATATGCCCATCTGGATCCCAGGCCCCACACGGCAGCCAGTGTACTATGACGAAATGGACGCTGCCTCAGGTTCCCTCCGCAGGATGTCCCTTCAGCCTCGTTCGCGATCAGTCCCCCGCTCACCAAGTCAAGGATCCTACAATAGGGCCAGAGTCTATTCTCCAGTAAGGTCACCCAGCGCCCATTTTGAACGAATGCCTTCTCGAAGTGAGGAGATATATGCCGAGCCATCGACTTACATGATGAGACGATCTGTCAGTTCCCCAAAGGTAAAGTTCCTTTGAAGCTCCCCTCCTCCAAATAGATTTCAGTAGATACCCAGCCAAGTGAGGGTAGGAGGGGGTATAAGTGATTTTAATAATAATCTTATCTCAATATTTTATTTATTGTTTGTGCCACATAGCAGAGACTATTGAGGAGGGAAGATGTTGCTGAACATGAAGGAGATTTATTGATCAGTCATGTCAAGAGACAACTGATTAAGAATTGGAGTAACGGCAGGAATGAGCAGTGTCATTTCTAAGCAATACTTACAGAAGCTGATCTTAAATTACATTCCCTATTATAAACTGATTATTCCTCAATCTCAGATATATTAAGGCTGTTTTAAACCAGAGGTGGGGAACTACGGCCCTTTTATGACTTGTAGCTGGCTCAGGAATTCTGGGAGTTGAAGTCCACAGGTCATAAAAGGACCATAGTTCCCCACCCCTGTTCTAGACATTCAGAAGCAGGAGCATTTCAGCCTGCAAATCCTCTAGCACCATCTGTTCTTAATTCTACTTAACTCAGAAATAAATATAAGGGATCTGTGCTGAGCCCTAGTTCAAGTAAAATATAAGGTATAACACTCTAGCAGCCGAAATGTGGTGCCAAAGTGGCAAGTTAAGGCTGAGGGAAAGTGTCATGTTAGTTGAATTGGGAGGGCAGTAGATTAGACAAGTTTTTGATCTAAGACTTGAAGTGTTCATCTTTGTGGCTACACCCTATGGCTTGATGAATATGATTTTCAAAACAAATTAGAGAGTGTCAATGGAAGTGGAGAGCAAATCATCCCAGGAATGAAGTAATATTGTAATACAGATTTCAAAGTAGCTCCTCTTATAAAACCAGCCTTTTGTCTTTTTGTCCAGACTTCAGTTTCAAGGAGTTTCTATAAGTGATTAATTCATCACCACTTTAGTTAATGGCCTTTGATATTTTTTTTCTTCCAACAGGAAGGTCATTGTTATTACTAGATTATTAACATAAGGAAAATATATCTCACACACATTCCTTTTGTTTGCCCAGTATGATTACCTTGGTGATAGAAAGCCTGTTCCTGCAGGAATGTTTCCCTTCAACTATCCAGCATCCCCTACAGTCCATGATAAAATGGTAAGCGACAATGCTATCCCATTCTTTCTCTAGCGAAGGTGTTTTTCTTTCCTAAAGCTATCATTTAATTCAGAAGTGGAATAATTGCTTTAGCAGCAAAGTTCATTAGGGTTGGTTATGAGACCAGCCTGGAGGCATCATGACTACGTGAACAGGTGGAAAATTTTAATCATTAGCCTGACTGCTGATGATTGGTTGATCATAGTTTGTATGTGTTTTCGAAGAGCAAAGAAGGAATTGAGCGTGTGATTTTTAGAGAAAGAAAAAAAAAAACCATGCATCTACTCAGTCGTTATTTATTCATTCAGCTGAAACCAGTGTTTCATTAACATTACCACCCAGGAAGAGTTGCAAGGAGATATAGAATGTGAAGTCCAATATGTATAGAGAGAGCGAAGATGACTTTGATGGGGATACCCAAGCTCTGTTCCCAAAATGACGAGGGGCAAAACATTGTCAAAATCCAGAACATCCATATAACATTTGGAAATGGCACAGACACCTCCCTAATTCACCGACTCTAAGAGAGAGGAGGAAGTTCAGTATATCTTGCATATCTCCATCAAGATTATCTTCCATACTTTAGGGAGGAATAGGCCACCTGTTTAACAACTTGGTTATTGAGATGTATCATTTCTTGCTTCTACCTCAAAGTGGAGGAAAATTTGCAATTAAGTCACAGATCGCATAGCAAAGCTGTTTGCATGTTGAAGATAATGGCTCCACCAATGGCTTTCATTATATGAGCTGTTTATTCTTGTTGCTCATTTCAACCAAGCATTTGCCTTGTCTTCAGGGTTGGTCCACTTCTATGGGTGATCTCTAGATGGAAAAATACTGCTTTATTCCCTGTGACAAGTAGCATCTTCCCAAAGGCTGAACACCCATAAATACTTCTGGTATTGTATATGGGATATCATTCCGAAATTAAGATGGTATCCCAAAGAATTGAGAATGCAAAAACCGAGGAGTACTAATCCTCTTTAATTCTTTATTGTCATTCTCTGTATCACAAAAATAATTAGAGAGTCAAAAACTGAAGTGGAAAAATACACGGTAAAACCTCTGTTTCCCCTTATTGGCTATTTTTATATGCTGTTTTTCCTTGGTCATTCTAATTCTCTCTCTGTTTGGTTATTCCACTGCGGGGGAGGATCCATGTGGTGGGGGCAACAAACACTGTGAATGGGACTCTGCCAAATGAAAGTGCCAACTTCATTGCTCCATGCCACGTTTTTTGACCCTACCTGACACCTGAAAGCAACCAGTAAATCCTGGACTGGATTTAAGGTGCCCTGTGGAACAGACTCTAGTTGCACGCTTGTTGCACGTAGCTTCTTCCCTCACTACCCCTGCTTTTTCACCAGCTATGCACAAAAGCAGATGCATGCGGCTGAACTAAAAATGCAGTGAGATGAGTTTGGTATCATTAAGCGGGTCAGGAACATTCTTTCTGATAACAAATGCTCTGTTTCCAACCTCAGCCTTTTTTTTTTTTTCCTCTCCTCTGACAAGGGCCATATTCTTGTACTATCTCTGAAGCTGCATGACCGCAGTGGATTGTACAGAAGCATGTTGTGATGGAGCCACACACTTTTTTTTCCTGTTGTCCAGTTGATCTGGGCATGATGGGTCAGTTCAGAGTTCATCATATGTAAACACCATTGTACCTGCTGAGCAAAAAACAGAGGAAAGAGACATTTCAACATAGCCCTTTGCTTTCAAGGTTACTTCTCCTGTCTTACAGGGGAAAGCGTTGAATGGTATCTGCAAAGATGTTGATCTTGGCAGCAAATGTAGCCTCAACAGCAAGAGTAGAGGAATCGCTCTTGAGGTCCTGAATTCAATTAACAACACATGTGGACTCAGAAAACTGTCTTTTGAAGGGGAAGGAGTAAAGACTTGTATTGTGATATAACTTGATCAAATGATATAACTTGATAGCCTGCCAAACTCAGGCCGTATTAAACAAGATAGAATGACCTGGATTAGATTAATGTGGTCACTCTGTTAATGCTCAGCCATACAATAAGATGCAAGCAAGGCTTGGGGACAGAGCATTGATGATAGTTCTGGGCTATCGGGATCTCTGAGAGTCCCTGAAATAAATGTTATATACTTCCTGATCTGAAAAGATTGCTGAACCACTATTCTTCACTTATCTTCTCTCTTTAAAAGTGCTTGGGAGTCTGTGAATGTTCCCTTTGCTGTATGGGGAAAGCTCTTTGCCTGTCTCTAGTTAAGCTGCACCTAACTGCTTTTGCTTCTTCTTTGTGTTCGTTGTTTTTGTATGTTTGTGTTTCCATTTTGCCGCATGCCTAATGGCTCCTGATAGGATGAACTTTTAGACCTTCAATTGCAAAGAAACCTAGAGTATTTGGACCAACAGGTAGGCTAAGCTGGCTGTGTTCTCCCTCTCCCCACTCCATTCAGCCTTGGCTCTGCCAAACCCATCTCCCTCCAGTCCTGTTGTTGGACCTGTGTCATCCTCCCTTTTCTGCACCTCCTTCCCTTTCCCTAAAATATATTGACCCTGTGCTAGCACTATTGATTCTGAGTTTGTGTTACCCTTTCTTGTGTGAGAGCAATGCCCAGAGATGGGCAGCACAAAAATCCAATAAATAAATATATAAAAATAAATAAATGTTTCATTTTAGGAGGCTAAAAAAAAAAGAAGTACATTGCTTGTCTAGAGATCTGTAGATTTCATATGCTAGAATACATGTTTCTTTAATGCATTCCTGACTACAGAATGTTTACATAATATTCTGACTAGATTTTCTAGCAGAATTCTGCCGAAATATTCACATGGGTGGAGGAATGTGGTATTCTTGGCAAATATTTAGTTGGGAAGTAGCCAAAGGGTGTACGTGAGTGTTGTGCCTTCCCTTGCATAATCATCTCTCCAAGGGAAGACATTATGAGGAGTGCCTCTCACTGAATATTTTTTAAAATATTACTAAGAGGGCATCTTGTCCTCAAGATGTTGTTGGGGAATTCCTTTTTTCCCTAGAGAATTTTTTAAAATCATCCCCTCAGTTTCTCTGCTCATAAATCTGGTGAAGAATTTCAAAAAAATGCCACAGACATTTCTTTGAAATGTTTTTCTCCTTTGAATGAAATGTTGAAATTCTTTTTCAGTTGAACTGATAAAAAAAATGTAGGAAAATTTCTTACTACTTTCTACTTCTATTTTTCATTTGACCTACACATGGATACATTCTCCTTCCCCTCAGAAGATTGGCTTTTAAAAAATTCATTACTGTCCTGGGGACATACCTCCCACCAAGACCAAAGGCAGATGTTTGTTTGGCTTACCTGCAAACTTACCTAGCAGGAGGTGTATTTAATGGCAGGGTTAAGCTCTTACCATTGCCCCAAGTGTCCTAGAGCTTCCAGTTTAGGAGCTGTGGAAGAAAAAAATGGTAGATGAATACCTAACCAGTCACTACTAGGGGGTCCTTGCTGCTCTCTGAGTTTGGTTTTCTTGCAGACATTTCATTACCAAACTAGGTAACATCATCAGTGCAGTGATGATATTATCTGGTTTGATAATGAAATCTTTGGAAAAAACCCACAAAACTCAGAGAGTACCAAGGACCTCACAGTTCAACTCTGAGCTACAAATATTCTCTTCTGTTGGTACAGTCTCTACTGCGCTTGCTAGTGGTTGAATGAAATCTAGCACTGGCTGTACTTTAAATGGTTTCTCTCTGATGAGAATAGCAACAGAAGCTAGCTAGAGTCCCCACTCGTGCAGCTCAACAAGTATTTCCTGCATGCCTGTTTCTTGAAGCAGTTTATATGTTTGCCAGATCCAGTTGGTAAAGCTTTCCTTGGATTGTACTCAGTGGTGGGATTCAAATAATTTAACAACCGGTTCTCTGCCCTAATGATTTCTTCCAACAACCAGTTCACCAAACTGTTCAGAAAGTTAACAACCGGTTCTCCCAAAGTGTGCGAACTGGCTGAATCCTACCACTGATTGTACTGCAAGAAGTAAGGAAGTTGACCTGAAGTCTGAAAGAATATTTATTTAGGAAATCCTGCACCATCTTGAGGTGTTTGCATACTCTTAAGACTAATATTATGTCTTAGCACTACACAAAAGAAGGCAGGGAGGGTTTTGTTTGTTTGTGTATTTGTTTTTGCAGTATGAACTGTCAAAATCCTGCTGTTCGCTTTTTAATGTGCTGGTTTAACAAATGGATCTGTAGGTAATAGGGAAAAAAAGACTTTTCACCCAGAAGCTGAGATACTACAGTCCAGAATTCTAGCAACACATTTTATCAAATTAGGAAGCAGCAGCTGAGGAGCAATTTTGGATATCTCTTAATGTTTGAGGATCAGTGTAAAAATAAGAGGGATATACTCTGGGGTATTCAGCTGGGGTTAGAGCAGAGGTCTTCAAACTTGGCAGCTTTAAGACTTGTGGACTTCAACTCCCAGAATTCTGGCTATGCTGGCTGGAGAATTCTGGGAGTTGAAGTCCACAAGTCTTAAAGCTGCCAAGTTTGAAGACCTCCGGGTTAGAGCATTGGATTAAACCTGAAGAGATTCAAATTCTCAATTGCTTTTTTTCAGCCTAATCTACCTCACAAGGTTGTTATTATTACCATAAACTTATAATAAAAGGAAAACCTGGGTTCACCTCCACCCAACCCTGAAAATAAGATATATTTATTGTCCTTCACTTCAAAGTAACTGTGAGGGATGTGTACTAATTTGACAAATGTGCCAAAAGGATAGAAGTCCAAAGGTTTCTAAATCCCATTTTCTAGATTAACACTGCAACACACACTCACACACACAAATGTCAGGAAGGATAAATTTCAGTTTACCCATTCCCTAAATTGTCTCAGTAAATACTGGTATTTGTTTTAAAAAAGAAAGAAAAATTATTGGAAATCTAATCTTGAATCTCTAATGTTCTTCCAAAAAGTGAATTTGCATTTAACATCTAAATGCAAATTCACTAACATGTGCTATCAAAAGTTATGTATCTATGAAGCACAATGATATGCTAATATACACAACTTTGTGAAATTTTTGAGGTAGGCTGCAGGTATTAAGGTAAAGCAAGACTGAAATCACATTATATAATTGTAAATCATTTGCACATTAAGAAAATATTGATTGTTAAAAAGGCTTGTAGAAATGCATACTGTATAATGGAGAAAAATGTGCAGAAAACCACAATCCAGCAGGTGAAAATCCTGATAGATATCTATATATTAAGAATATATAGAATACATACATTCCTGTGATTTTCTTTTTTAAAATTGCAGTTTAAATCCAGGAACAGGACATACAGTAATAAAGTTAAGAATGTAAATGAATATTGTAGACTAAGTGAAGTTGAACTTTACAAAGTCACCCATCCTAGTTCTTTAAGGACACCGATGAATCTAAATTATTTTTATTCCTTCATTTTTCTGTCTCCTTGTTGTCATTTATCAGACATTGGATTTTCTACCTGTTCCTACAACTTCATGCATAACAATTTCTTCATTGCCAATAACTTTAGCTATTGGCAAGAAACATCGATCCTGCATCATTGTATTTCATCTTCCTCAATCAGAATTACTTGAAGCAAGCTCCAAGCAGATTGAATGAACTCCAGGCTGTATCAAAATCATTATGCAATGCCACAAATATCCCCATCAGAATTAGCTGCTATATTTGTTTGACTCAGCAGGAACTAAGCAAATTGATTTGTCCAGTTTGAACCATCCCCTCTTTTCCCCACCACCATTTCCGTCGGAAAGGTTGGAGACCTCTGTCCTATAGCACTGAGTTTCTGGATTCTTCACCTTTGCAAAACCTTTAATACTAACAGATTTATTAGGAAACATGCTTTTGTAGAGTGGATTGGAATATCAATCACCTTTATTAATCTTTTGGTCCCTCAAGATTATCTGCAGTTTAAATGTAAGCAGCATGAATTGTTCAAATATGGTATGCAGAATAATGGAGGCAAATAGAATAAAATATTTAAGATTACATTCCTGTACCCATGTGTATGCTACCAGAATATCTGGTATATGTATGAGAAAGGGGTGTGGTGGCCAAGTGACTAGGACACTGGGTTTGTTGAACAAAAGATTGACATTTTCAAGACCTAAGTCCCACGTGACAGAATGAGCTTCCATTACTTGCCCCAACTCCTGCCAACCTAGCAGTTCCAAAGCATGTAAATGCAAGTCGATAAATAGGCACTACTTCAGTGGGAAGGTAATAGTATTCTGTGTGCCTTCAGCATATAGTCATGCTGGCCACACAACTATGGAAGCATCTTCAGACACTTCTGACTCTTCAGCTGTTAAGTGGAGATGAGCATTGCCCTCTAGAGTCAGGCATGACTGGCAGGCAAAACCTTTATGTGTGTGTGTGTGTGTGTGTGTGTGTGTGTGTGTGTGTGTGTGTGTATGTGAAGGAACAGGTGAATTCAGATTTGCTCACCACATAAAATCCAGTTTTTATCATAGCAACTGTATGGAAGGCTGTCTGCCCACTAGAAAAAAAACACATTTAACTTTGGTAACTAACACATCAAGCAGATAACCCAAACAACCTTCCTTACAACTTAAATTTGAGATTCAGTAGTATTCTCAGCATATTATGTGGTATTAAGGTACAGTTGCTGACCTCTGAAAAACACCAAACAAAATCAAAGCTTTTTGAGAAAATGCTGGCAGAGAATTTCGACTGGAAATTAAAAAACATGATGGATGGCTGATACTAGCCTGAAAAATGCCTGCATGAATAAGTGCTAGTTCCAAAACCGATCTCATGTGGCCTCAGCATCAAAATCCACCACTATACAATAATATGTAAGGTGTGAGTGCCTAGGTTGGACTGAAACCAACCTGCTGGGTTACTACTCATAGTAGTGGGATTCTGCCCCTCTGTTTTCATTTTAAATTTTCTAAACCTTGCAACTTTGCAAACCCCTTTGCAGCTTTCCATCTTCTTCCACTTTGGACCATAGGAGAAAGATTCTACCATAGTCACCTACTGCATTCTGCTCCCGATTTTTTTTGTTATGCCCTGATGATTTGTGTTTTTAAGTGCTACTGATTTGGAATGTTTGTTTATGTTCCTTGTGAGCTGTATGAATATAGATGTAATCCTGTCGACTTTTGTTGAAGAATGAAAATTTATTCAAAGATATTCTTCTTACCTATCCTTGAGGTTTTGTTTAAGAAAGGATTATTTTATTATATATGGTTTGTTCTATAAAACCTATATTTAGAAGGAATTCAAAAAACGAGAGAGATACAGCCCTACATAAGTGCCTCCCCTTCCTCCAGGATCGGTCTAAATAACCTATAGTACCATATACAGTAGGATGTACACAAATAATGCTTTCTAAATGAAGAAAAATCTGTAGCTCAGGTTTCAACTGTGGATTTCTTGGTATTCTCTGAGCTTGGCTGTTTGCTAAGTAACATCATCAGTAGGAGACTTTCTACATCTCAATACTCCAGATTTAAATAATTTGTTCTGTTGAATTGTAACATTTATTTCTGAGAGGCAATATTGTAACTAGTCTGGCCATATACCTGAATAAAAGTCTATCCATCAATTTAAATGTTGAGGAAGTATGTGGGCTACTCTCTATTTTATAGCACTCTAGGTTTTTCCCAATGGAAAATGGAATAGGCAAAGATAACTGAAGGTACGATGTGGTGCATAAGATTAAAAGAAAGAGAGAGAGAGCTAGTCATAATTAGCAGCAGCTTTCCTTGGCTTTTTTTCCAGAATAGAAGCAAATTATTTGCTATAGCAACATCTATTTGCTTTGCTTGTTAAAGAAGTAAAATGCTGCTCCCAAAGTAAAATACTGAAGGGTAGAATACATAGCATTTCAACAACCACCTGTCCTGTTGAAATCTTCCTTTTTTGTACTATTTCTGTAACATAATCTTTGCCCACCAAGCCCTATTAGATCCACAGAGGAAATGGATTGCTCTAGAGTTTCCAAAGGACCTGTGACCAAAGCAATTCCATAGGAGAAAGAACCGTTTGTAACTTTCTTCCTTTCTTCCTTTTCTAAGTGGTAAATGACTATTTTGGAGGGGCCAAAAGAAAAAAAAATGCAGCAGATCCAAACATGGATCAGCTGTATTGGTACTCCAAATAAAATAATGGAGATGAAGTGGGTGGGGTAGGACAACATACATATATGTACACATACATAGTTTCCTCCCCCCCAACCCAGAAAGATAGCCCAATATGATTCCTCCAATATAATGTCCTTTATTTAAAACCATAGGATGGTGTCCTGGCCCAGTTGCGTGTGCAACTGACTTTGAATGGAGATGGAGAGGTTCTGGGAAAGACCAAGAAAGGTTATCCTGTCAGTGAAATCTAGTGCTTGTACAGTAAGGATTCTTGTCAGCTGGAAGGAGGCAGGATTGAGTCCTTCTCTCCAACCAGGCTCCGTTTCTCCGTGACTGCTATTTATATAACTCAATAAACATGTGCATGTAAATTGCAGCAAAGAATTGAAAGGAGACTGTCCACAATCTACCTTGATGAGGTCCTTTCTCTCATAGAGGATTGCCATTCTGCCTTGAGATGACGAGCTGCTTTCTGGAGGCACATCATTTCACCTCCACAAAGAATTAAGATGGGACCACTCTGCCCCAATTGGCTATTCCATTCAGAAGCCACTTATTATCAAGGGAACTGAAGTAGTCATTTCTCCCTGACAAAGAAAAATTCAGGGCCATTTTACTTAACAGCTTTTCATTGAAAAGACTCTTCAGTTGAAGTCTCAAGAAAGTTCACCACCCTTTTAAAGACCTGCATGGCCCTAACAATTATCATAAAGTGAGCTTCATTTTGGTACCTCTCTCTACTATAAGATCTGAGCTACGGATCCAGATATTTCCACATTTATCTTAGGGATGACACAAGTTTAAGCTTGAATGGAAATGACTCTGTCTCCATTAGCATCATGACTGTTTTTCCTTATCTGCCACAGATGAGCGAGAGCGAGACTTTGATCAGTATGGTGAACAGAATGGTGGAGAGCTCCTCTCCTAGGGCTCAACTGTACTTGCAAGTAAGACATCACAGCAGCTCTGCCATCAACCATGACATTCCAGCTGCTTTTGCATACAGCAGAACCATCCCAGTATCATTGTTTCATGCCTCACCTCCACAACCATCTGTGAGGTGGCCATTCAACTTTTCATCCTACCGTAGCATTTGTTTATAAATTCATCATGGCATCCGTGCCCCCTTGTGCTAGTGACTCCAATAGAGGAGGCTCTCTTAAAATGGTTTAAATCCATATATTTCTTTTGAGATTGATGAAAGCAACTCTGGTAATATACATCTTGTGCCAGCTCCTTTTCTCTAATGAAATTCTCAATATATGTATGTAAAAAATCTGGATTATAGCCGATAACCACCATTTTAAAAAATCCTTGTCAGGCTGTTTTCTGCTAGAGGAGAAAACCTACCAGTTGATTAGTTTTTTAAATGGAAAAAAAATCTTTGATATTATATTTACATAAATTATGGTACCTCTGGAAAGTGGTTAAGCATAGTAACATCTATAATTATATTTACATGAAGAAAGAGTAAGTTTTTCCACAGTAATTTACCCTTCTAATGGTAGAGTTGTCTTAGAGTTTTGTAGAGATTCTGTTTTTGTAGGCTTGCCATTGTTCATTTTGTATTGAGCAACGCAGTCAACAACAGAATAATTAGAGCTGCATTCCTCCCAATTACAGCCAGCCATCTACCATCAATCTCTGTCTTTGGCTTCAATACTTGTTTTGTCACTTTTAGCACTAAAATATATTTTTATGGGTTTGCACCACTATATAAGGAAAACAGCAGTTGAACATTAATTATAATTGCTGGTTAGATGGAATATATTTTGGAGCAGTCTGAATTCTGTTTATTATATGAGAAAGTGAATTGTTGTATATTTGATGATACATTATTATAAGCCCAGGGCAGGATACCTTATTTCTGTTAACAGCTGCATTCCTTCAAAGTAAGAACCACATACATGGTGGGTGGAACTGAAGCAAAACTATAGGGAAGAGGAGATGGGCACATTTGATCTTTCTTATACCCCTATGAGGGCGGGGCTTTTTGTATCCTCTTCCAAGATACGAGGCTTTGTAAAGAGGCAGATAGCTCTTCTTAGAAGTCTAAATTGGTCTCTGGCTGAAGGTTTTGTAAGTAGGTCATGAATCCTTGAGGGCTGTTATGTTGCTGTTCTCTGGCCTACTTGCATTGGAGAACCTGAAGATGGTTTTCAACCATTTTCCAAAAATAGATATTATTATGTTACATACCCTTCACAAAAATATGGGAAGATACTACAGACCAAGGCATTTTATTTATGTAGACAAGCAGTGACTTTTTTAGATTTCAGTGCATGTGAAATTCTTTTGTAATGATATTAAATGGTATTACAATTAGTAAAGAAATATGTTTTAAGATGTTGTAATAGTTAAATAAAAGCATGATGCGTTATGTTGTGGATGGGGTTTTTCTTCCCAGCAGCTCCTTTTCCGTTAAGGAAGTACATTCTAATCAGTTCCTGCAAAATATGTGGTAAGGTCAAGGAGTGTGATGGCTCAGTAGCTAAAGATGCTGAGCTTGTTAGCTGAAAAGCTGACAGTCCATGTTTGAGACTTGAGTGCCACCCGACGGGGTGAGCTCCTGTTAGTTGCTCCAGCTCCTGCCCACCTAGCATGCAAATGCAAATAAATAAATAGGTACCACTTCAGTGGTACTCAGTGAATACCTCAGTGCCTTCAGTGAGGCACTTGAAACAGTGTTTCAAGTGCCTCAGTGTACAGTTATGCAGGCCACATGACCATGGAAATTGTCTTTGGACGACACTGGCTTCCTGGACTAAAAAATGGAGATGAGCACTGTGCCCTAGAGTCGGACTTGACTGGACAGGGGAAACTTTGTGTAGTAAGGCCATAATGGTGCAGAGCTTCATAACAACAAACCTGGATTCTGATGTAGTGGTGTATGTGAGGGTTTCCTGAATTGCTACTTGTTGGTCATGGGTCTCCACAGAGAGAGAATCTACAAGATGGCAGGTGGAGGGTTGTGATCAAAGCCTCAGTGCTTTGTACATGCATGGAGATGTCCAGAGAAAAGAGGCCAGATTCAATTGCAACACCACATCCATCATCTTGAGGATTTTGACTCTCCCTGCAGATCCTGCCATAATCTGTATTCTACTCTCATACTTGTTCATACAACTGGGGATAAGTGCAATTGGCAACTTCATTTTTCCAGAGAGGAGAAAACCCACAAAATTTGGGTTTGATTATGAAAACTTAGACCAAAAAGGCAGTGTTCAAAAAACCACCTCCTTAATCTGTTTGTATTGCATTGTATTGGTTTGCTTATAAATTTAGATCTGGCTATTATATAAAGCATCTCCATCGTGAAAAATATTGTCCAGATTTTTGCAGTTTTGAAACCAACAAGTAAATTAAGGATACAATCCATCTATAAAGATTCCATTATTGTGATTAAGTACAGGTTCTCAAATTAAACTAATACTAGTCTTTCTCTGCTCTCATTGAACACGCTTGTTAATCCAACTAAATCTAGCTAAAATTAGCCCCTAAAGTCAGCCCCTGACCTTTGCTCTTTCCGCCATGGGCTTAAAACATGGCTATTTTGCCTGGCCGGCTTGGACTGAAGGGGTTTTAGAGGGGATTTTAATGGTTTTTATAGTTTTATTGGGTATTTTTTTTTTTAAATGAACTTTGTGTGTTTAGGGCAGTATAGAAGTTCAATAAAATCTAAATCTAATCTAATCTTTATTATTGTGAGCCGCCCTGAGTCCTTTCGGAGATAGGGTGGTATATAAGTCCAATAAATAAATAAATAAATAAATAAATAAATAAATAAATAAATAAATAAATAAATAAATAAATAAATAAATAAATAAATAAATAAATAAATAAATAAATAAATAAATAAATAAATGTCATATTATCCTGAGCAATCTGTTTCTAATAAGTCAGGAATTTAACAATCTATTTATCAGCCATTTTCATCATATTGGCTTCTGCCTAGCATATAAAGTCATACACCCAGGAAGCCTTATGCAATGCAGTGTATATCCATAACAATTTCTATTAGGCCTACAAACCCCATCAAACAATCTTCTTGGCTTTTTGTGCTGCATTCTTGCTTTGTATATTAACTATGAGATGTATTAGTGTCTGTGTAGAATAACTCTTTTGCACCATAGTAGTTATGATAATTTTAAGGAACTTTTTTCCCCATAATCATCCTAAATTCTAGAGGGGCAGGGAGAATGGGCCATATCTTTAATTCTCTTTACAAATATAGATGCATGAAGGTAAACTATGGCTTTATCACATAATGTGCCTGATAGTTGCACACCTAGTACTCCTGTTATATAAAAGTGCTAATTTCTTCATAAATCTGAACAGTCATTATATAAAAAAGGAACATTTTGTTAGAACCCTGACTGTTCCTTCCTGTGTTGAAAGCAGAGTAGCCATTTTCTTTCCTTGACAAAGTAGAAGAACTGTTTTCAAAGACAGCAAATAATCTTTGGTTAGTTATGTGTTGCTTTTGAGAAAGGCTTCATGGAAAGTCTAATAGAGTTGTACAATCTGATAATGTATATGTGTATATTGTATGTATATGTAAAGGGTGGAGAGATCCACTAAGTAGTAGTAGTCTTGGATTTCCTCAGGGGATTATTATGACAACATCAAGGTAGACAGAGCAGCAATGACTTGTTTTTATTTTTTCAGGTGTCTCATTTCCCTGAAGCATATAGAGAGACGCTGCACACCTACAAGATAAATGAGCAACACACAGATGTAAGAACACCTCTTCCTCACTGTCATCTGCCTACTCAATCCATCCCCCATCCTGTTACCACTGTCTACCCTGCATTCCCTGAGGTTCGTGGGGGTTCTTTCTTTCCATTTCATATCTTTAGATAATCCATCTTTTCTGCTAATACAAAACTGCAAGGCTATAAAGGCTCTTGATCATCCTCCATCAAAAATCTTGTGCGGTCTCTTTTCCTTTTGTATCTCTCCTGTCTACTCAATGCACATGTCTTCATGCTGGTTTAATTGTTTGTATTTTCTCTTGCATGGATTTGGAATTCAGGAACTGAGACCAGGCCTCTGGTGGGGTCTAATTGATCTCCATCAAAGCAGCTGAAAGTTTATATTTCTCATTCTTGATGTCTTCTACAGACTTCATGTTTTATTTCTCTCTTTTTCACACGGCAGAAGCTTCTAGGAAAACTCTGTGAACAAAACAAGGTGATAAGAGAACAGGAAAGACTGGTACAGCAGCTTCGAGCAGAAAAGGTAAAAGACATGAATCACCAAAAAAAAGGGGGTAGTACTATGGACAAGCTGCTTTCAACCCCTATGAATGAACCTCATTTCTCAGAAATTTTCATAGCATGACCAAAAAGATTTCATCTTCTAGGCACTGGTTACATTTAACAGAAGTATTTCCAGTACCCTGAAGCTAGGAGACTGAAATATTAAAATGTAATTTTGCAAAGTGTTATAAATATTTTAAATGTGCCAAGTCAGGAAGATTTGAGTTGATTACAAAACTGTAAACCAAATAACAATAATAAATAATAAAGTAAACAATAATAAACTAAAATAGCAAATGTTAAAAGACAAATGTTCTTTAAATAAGTAGATATAAACCATGATTTTCATACAGTGCAGGCAATAAAAACCTAAATTGAGCCATCAAATATGAGCACCAGGTGTGATTCCCAGGAAAGTCATTCTATAATAAGGAGCCCATAACTGAGTTGCTCTATCCCATCTCTCAAAGCTACTTGCCTGGCTCTCATTTTGGCAGGGATACCTGAAAGAGAGACTCTTAAAGTAACCAGAATGCTTATAGTAGTATCTATGGGGAGAGAGGTGTTCCTATAAGTATCTGTCCCCAAGCCATTCAAATCTTTAAAGAGTAGTATCAGCATCAGTAGTTGAAGCACTGATTTCTTATATCTGAATTGAAGAGTCCCAATTAATTTCCTGGCAAGTCAGTGTTGGAATAACCAAAGCTTCAATCTTCAAAGGAGCCATGCAAAACACATTACAATAATTTAATCAGAAGTTTATCAGAGCATGTACAATTGAGCATTGGCTATCTATTTCAAAGGAGAGTGGTTTTATGAGGTGATTAAACTACCACTGAGTTTCAAGAACACTCCAAACTGCTTTCCCAAACTCTCAAAAGGGCTGTAACCTACACTGGAACAAATAATCGCAACCATCCCAAATAATATTTCTGATCTCAATCTGGACTGAGCTTTGTTTCTTGATTGTCATCCAGGCAATTACGCTGTGTTTCAGAACATTTACCATGTCAGCTGTGTTAAATGAAAAATGTCATCTGTGTATTGATAATAGTTCAGCTAATATCACAAATAATTTTCCACAGCAATTTCATGTAAATGCAAAATAGAAATATGAAATAATTGCAATATGACAAAACAGTAACTACTCTCAGCACTACCTTCTGGAATAGGCTGAACCAGTCTTAGTCAGATAGCTTATTTTGATTGATGCTAAAAACTGTGAAGTCCAAGGAAAGCAACAGGATTGGTGTTCCCTCTGTTTTTTCTCTGCAGAGGTCACTCCCAAAGTGACCAAGGCAGTCTTTGTCCCAAAGCCCAGGTGAATGTAGAACATCAACTTTATGCCTCGATTTTTTGTTAAGCAGTGATTCAAACACTTTCCTCTAGAAATGGAACTGTCTGGCACACTTCTGAGTTAAGTTTCTTTAACAAGGGCTGATTATCACCTCTTTCAAAGGGATCTGTTAAAATACATCCACGTTCTTTGGGCACAACTGCTTAGATTTGTTACAACTGAATGAGACAATACTCTGGACATCTCAATTAATATAACTGTTCTAACCATGGAATCCAAGGCATACTATAAATGAGCAATTTCAATTTACAAATTTTTCACAGCAAATTCTTTTAGGATGGGTGTTTATAATAAAATACCCAGATGTACAAATGAATGAGCATCTTGCTGCTCCCACTATATCAGAGCAGGACACCATACAACATGGATTACTATAGGTAGACTGAGGTAACTGCCTCAGTTGACAGATGCTGAAAAATATCAGAACTATTTTTCTATATTACCTTATTTCTGCCCCTCAGTTAATCTGCTGCCTCACTGCCAGGGTTGAAGCAAGCTTCAGTTATCAGATCATGTGACTTTGGGACATGGAATTGGGAGAAGGTTTGGGATTACATTGACTTGGCCCTAATATAAATTTTATTGCAGAAATACTTATTGTAGACCCCTAAATTCCCAGGGCTTTATAAACTACTGTATTCTCCTTAAGAGCAAGATGTACAGGCATGTTTCTGTTTGTAAATGCTTAAAAAAGTCCTTATCTCATCCAAGAAATTTATATAGTTCAACTCTATTTTTCTCATAAATTTACTAGCTTTCCACCCTGGAGCATGAGAAAAGTTTAATTAAATTTAATGATTTTCAAAAGAATAGAAATAGGAATAAATCCAATTTTCAATGTCATTGTAACTTTGAACAGTCACTAAACATGTGTAAGTTGCTGACTACCTGTACTCTAATCCAGAAAGAGCCTTTTAGCTAGAAAACACAACCAATTTCAAGTCTTGAATTTACTTCTGAATCACCTGCCTTTATTAACAAGCATGTACTTCCTTGTGCTCATTTCATCACTAGGAGAGTCTGGAGAGTGCACTGATGGGGACACACCAGGAATTAGAAATGTTTGGGAGTCAGCCAGCCTACCCTGAAAAGCTTCTGCACAAGAAGGAATCTCTTCAGAATCAGTTGATCAATATCCGAGTGGAACTGTCCCAAGCCAGCACGGTAATCTAACAAGTCTTCTGCATTGAAAGCATTCCATTTTCTATAGTCACAAAGAGATCCCAAACACCTAGAAACCTTCAGGGACTTAGCCAGTTGTGGGTTTCAAAACTTTTTACTGCCAGTTCTGTGGGTGTGGCTTGGTGGGCATGGCATGGCATGGCTTGGTGGGCATGGCAGGAGAAGGATACTGTAAAATCTCCATTCCCTCCCCACTCCAGGGGAAGGTTACTGTAAAGTGTTTTAATTTTTAAATGTTTTTATAATGTTTTTTTTTAAATGCATTATAAGTCTCCTGAGTCTCCAGAGAAAGGCGGCATATAAATTGAATGAATGAATGAATGAATGAATGAATGAATGAATGAATAAATAAATAAATAAATAAATAAATAAATAAATAAATAAATAAATAAATAAATAAATAAATAAATAAAATCTCCATTCCCTCCCCACTCCAGGTGAAGGTTACTGCAAAATCCCCATTTCCTCCCAATCAGCTGGGACTTGGGAGGCAGAGAATAGATGGGAGCAGGGCCACTCAGAGGTGGTATTTACCGGTTCTCCGAACTACTCAAAATTTCTACTGCCCTTCTCCAGAACTGGTCAGAACCTGCTGAAACCCACATCTGGACTTAGCACTATCTAAGGCAGTGTTTCCCAGTGTTAAAATGGATGGACTTCAACTTCCGGAATTCCCCACATGTTAAAATGCCAAGGTTGAGAAACACTGATCTAAGGGAAAGGGTTATGTGTCTGTTAATCATTAGCTTTGATTTATCCCATCATTCAATATCATTCACAGCTATACCAATGGAAGCATACAGATAGAATTGTTGAGCCTCTGGTCATCTCTAGCCGGCATGGAGATTAGTAGAAGCTTTGGCCTTCTCAGTTTTGCAGCCTTCACTGCTTCTCCAGCAGCATTAGCTGTTGTGAAAACCAGGTGCTTCCAGCTGAGCTTGAATGGGGAGTCTGTTCTTCTTGTTTTGACAATGCTGGTGCTACCAGGAAATGCTAGAATTGAAAAGAATAATGTTTTGATAGTTTAGCATTGTGCAATACATCTCTTCAGTCTTTTATTCTTTTACTGCCTTTTCATTTCATATAAAAAGGGGGGAGGGAGGGAAGAAATGAAGACATAAAGCCCAACACAAGGGTAAGTTGCAAAATCACATTGGAGAGGGGGATCAAAACATCCAAAGTGTATGCCATCAATTTGGTCTCCCCAAAACTACATTCAGGGTTTCCTGAATAAAAACTGATCTCTGTTTTCAAGAATACAAGCAACGACAACAACAACAACTAAAGAAACATGCAAGATACTAGCCTTGCTTCCCTACCCCTGAAGTCTTGTAAAGAGTCTTTAAAAATCAAGTGTTTTTAGGAATGGAAATCTTTGTCTCTTCTGTGAAGTTATGAAGGCTGTGATCCAAACAGATGGTTGAACAGTTAGTGTTCATATGCCAATTAGTTTTTCTGCACTACAGGGATCTAGACAGGCATTTGTATCTTGACGACACTGTTTGCAAATCCCCACAGGCACTGGCCAACAGCACTATGGAATATGAGAATCTGGAAGCTGAGGTGTCAGCCTTGCATGATGATTTATGGGAACAGCTGAACTTGGATATCCAGGTGAGAGAATGAACTCTCTGCATCAGATGGATTGAAGGCAAATGATCAGCATGTTGAGAATATGTTGGAAATGAGTGCAAATTTTAGCCAAATTTAGGGAAATTATTCACCCAATTTCTCAGTCTACTAGGTTAGGGAAATTTTCAGAAGGTTAACTGTGCCCAGCAAAAGTTATAATATAAGATACTTGGAGAGCCCAAGTTGAGAGAAAGTGTAAGTGGCTTAGAATTAGTACTTATTGAGTGGCTTAGAATTAGTACTTATTGAGACACAAACTTCTGTTTGTAGAAATATTGTGTCATATATGCCAGATAGATGTTTAATCCAAGCTTGCTTTGCTGATATTTAGCGTCCTATAGCCCCATTGGAGGACAGGAGCTGTTCTGCCCCCTGGTGGAAACAATTGCTTGCAGCAATAGAAAGTGCAGGCAACATTTTTAGTTCTAATTGGATGGATGATCTGCTTATCCCATCTCGGTGTTTAAATTATAACAAATTAATGCTTGTTTATATTTGTCTGCATATTTCCAACGTAATTTCACTCACCTTGATATGCAGTTGTGTCTCCATGACTGAATTGAACTACAATAACAAAATATGTATCACTGGTAGCTAGATGGGAAGGATCTAGTAAAGGATATTTCCCAAGTGATCTCTCAGCTGAGTGACCAGAGTAGCTCTTTCCTGCAGATATTAAAATTGAATTATGACACATTGCCTAACTATATTTACTCATTACAATTTAAATATTCTGCATTTGAAATGAGTCTCACAAATCAAAGGAAATGTTTGAATATTTTTGCAATGTTGCATGCTGGATTTTGCATGGTTGTGATTATTACTTTAATTGGGGAAACGGGGGCATAAATAGTCATATAGCAGGAGAAGTGATACCGGTAGGTGAAGGAGAAAATGTAATAAAAAAAAAAAGAGTTGTGACAAGAAATGAGGAGCAAAGGCTCCTGTTATCTCTTCACAACATAGATATGGTTTTTAAATATAGATATCAATTAAGAGCATCCCTGCCGAAGGTCAAAATCTGTAAGAAGGTGTCTATAGTGCCATAATCAAAGTTCAGTCCATTTTAATTCAACAGGAGTAGGCCTTCTATTGCAAGATTGCACTTGGCATTTTGCAAATTTGCACATATATCCCTATAGACACCCTTAATGCCAATACCATATTTACTATACCATCTTATAGTAATATAACTATATTATTATAGTAATTTAAGAGCCATGGTGGCACAGTGGTTAGAATGCAGTACTGCAAGCTAACTCACTGCTCACTTCAGGACTTTGATTCTGAGTGGCTCAAGGTTGTTTCAGCCTTCCGTCCTTCCGAGGTCAGTAAAATGAGGACTCAGATTGTTGGGGGCAATATACTGACTCTGTAAACTGCTTAGAGAGGGCTGTAAAGCACTGTGAAGCAGTATATAAGTCTAAGTGCTATTGCTAAGTGCTACTAATGAAGAAAATTAACATATTCCACCCTGGAGATGCATTTAATACCAGCAACTACTTCTGCTTTACTGTGGTATGGCCTATGTAACAACATCTTGGTAGAGTTGAGGTGACTCTTTCCTTGTTAGAATGTAGAATGGGACTTAGAATATTAATTTTTATCCAAGCATTTTTTTTTTTTGCTTTTCTAAGTTTTTTAAATTTAGCTAAGAGTTGGTTTTGTTTTTATTATAAATAAATATTTGTAAATTGCCTAATGGGTATGGATTTTTTTTTAAATGAATACATTTACATATCTTGCTCATAGCACATTTTAGCCATATATGTTATTGCAGAGTCACAAGGGTAACATAATTCATACACTAACCATATTTATGGGACAATGTGATATAAAAGCAATTGAATAGTTTTCAGAAACCAAGCTTATTTCTTAAGTTCTATACACTGATGTAGGGATATCAGCTGTTTCTTTTCTCCATCCCAGTGAGTCTGGTCACAACATCAATTGAAGAACTGTAATAAGATATCAGGCAATGAATCAAAATTATACAGACCCACACTGCCAGAATTGTAATTGTTTTAAAGACTGTAGCCACAATTGTAAAAACCAGAATGCAGAATATTTTCTGCATTATATTTATTGTACTCCACACATTCGTGCCAATAGGAAGCTACCTCTTGAAGCATTCTCCAATTTAGAGATAACATTTATCTACAATCTGGAGGCTTGATAAAATCATGTTCACACACCCACAGTTTTCTGCATGAACAATCTCATGTGAGACACTATACCTTTCTTTACTTGGGGATTACATAGCCTGTTTAGAAACTGTTCTAGAGGCTGAATTGCCAAGAGCTGATGAAGCCAAGTGTCCTCAGGAGAAGATGAGCTTAGTCTATAAAAAAGATTGCAAAGAGATTGAGCAAGGATGAGCAACTGAAACAATTTAAATAATTACTTTTATTTATTTTTAATTAATTCAGCAGAGAGATATCACCACGTTAATTGTGGAAAAGTATTTTTGTGGTAACATTTGTAACATAATTGTTTCATCTTTTTATAAAGGAAGAAAACAACTTTTCCTCAGCCCTCTTTGCTGCTCTGTACTCTTTTCTCTCACTGCAGGTCTATTCCGCAGTCTCTCATCCATTCTTCTCAACACATAGCTTTCCTTCCTTTGATTTCCATTTTTTTCCCTTTCCATTCTTCTCTTCCCTTTGCAATCATTCCTCTACATTCTTTTACGAAGACTCATCTACAGAATGCATGAATATAACAAATTCCCAGTATATTTTATTAAAATGCATCTTTGAAGGGGAATTTTTTTTTGTAGAAAAGTTGAACGAAGAGATTGCTTACTCCTTTGTTGCCTAGTCTTTCTCTGCTGAATTTCCCTTTCCTACAAGATACTTTTTCCTGTTGCAGAATTCTAATAGAAGATGCAAATAAGCCTAGGAGAAAAAGACTTCTCAAAGACATGTGGACTTCAATTCCCAGAAATCCCCAGTGATTTGGATGCCACTGAGTTCTGAAATCTGTAAAAAAGAGAAACATAACCAAGAGCAGATACTTTTGATGATGCATTTGCAATTCAACCATAGGGTCAAACATCTCTATTCCAGGTCCTCATTTTACCAACCTCAGAAGGATGGAAGGCTGAGTCAACTTTGAGCCGGTCAGAATCAAACACCTGGCAAAATTAGCCTGCGATAATGCATTCTAACCACTGCGCCACCATGGCGCCTATGACTCTCCTTTTATAATATATTGTTTTTTATTGGGTGTGATCCAAAAATTTTCAGTTTAAGAGTTTTGTTCAAGTTTGAAAGGATCCTTCCAATTGTATTGTAGCATTCCAACTATTCTGAATCTGCTTTGAACTTGAAGCAGCTCTTTTGAGTTTAAAACAAGTCTGAGCTTGAAATCAGGCTGATTGGAGCCAAGGACATATCCAGAGTGATCAGAATAACATCAGAATATTTCCAATAATGTCAGGATAGCTATTTCAAATTCAAAACAGATCACACTATTTTGAATTTGAAACATTTTGTTACCATCATTTTCTTCATACTTGGATGAAGTATGCCTTCATCCAACAATGCTCTTGAAGTGATGTCCCGGTGCCCAGAGGCTGTACAGATCTGGATGGGGAGGAATAGGCTCAGGCTCAACCCATCCAAGACCGAGTGGCTGTGATTTCCGACGTCCCGATATAGTCAGTTGGTGCCATCACTGACTATTGGAGCCGAATCATTGGCCCCCACAGAGAGGGTGCGCAACTTGGGTGTCCTCCTGGATTCACGGCTGTCTTTAGAAGAGCACTTGACAGCCGTGACCAGGAGGATTTTTCATCAGGTCCGCCTGATTCGCCAGTTGCATCCCTTTCTGGATCGGGACTCCTTACGCACGGTCACTCATGCCCTCATCACCTCCCACCTGGACTATTGTAACACTCTCTACATGGGGCTCCCCTTGAGGAGCACCCGGAGGCTCCAGCTGGTGCAGAGTGTGGCCGCGCGGGTGGTAATGGGAGTGACATGGCGCTCCCATGTAACACCCCTCCTGCGCGAGCTGCACTGGCTCCCGGTGGTCTTCCGGGTGCGCTTCAAGGTTTTGGTTACCACCTTTAAAGCGCTCCATGGCTCAGGACCTGGGTACTTGCAGGACCGCCTACTATCACCAATAGCCTCCCACCGGCCAGTACGCTCTCATAGAGAGGGGCTCCTCTGGGTGCCGTCGGCCAAACAATGTCGACTGGCGACCCCCAGGGGGAGAGCCTTCTCTGTGGGGGCACCTACTATCTGGAACGAGCTCCCCCCAGAGATACGGAGGATCCCGGATCTGCGCACCTTCCGCCGTGCTCTAAAGACCTTTTTATTTCACCAGGTGGGCCTGGCCTAACTTTCTCCCTCTTTTTAAACAATTTTAATATTTTTAATATTTTTAATCCTCAAAGTTTAAATTTGTTTTAAATTGATTGGGGTTTTAATCTGTCTGGGCCAAACTATTTAATTCGATTTTATTTCTGCTTTTTAAATTTTGTATGTATGTATTTTATTGTTGGCTGTTCACCGCCCTGAGTCCTTCAGGAGTAGGGCGGTATACAAATCAAATAAAAGTAAAAAAGTAAAGTAAAGTTGCTTATTCTTAAATAAATGTGTTCAATATCAAAACAGCTGAATCAAAATGTTTGTATTCTATTATCATGATGAGGCAGTACTTTAAATAGTTTTTAAAGGAAATATTTTACACATGCGCTATTTTTCTTCCCTTAATCATATTTCTGGGGTTTTTTGTTTGTTTGTTTGTTTGTTATTTTAATTTATCTACTTTCTATTATAGTAGTTGATAGCCTGATAACAGAGAAAAGAAAAGAAATATGCATACTACAACTAATATTAGACAACATGCTTGCCTAAAATTACCCTTCCCCTTGCTCACAATTAAGTATAGAAAATTAATTACTAACATTAGTACTTAGTTTAATTAAATGTGGATTTGTTTCTCTACCTTGGTTTTTCAGAATGAAATGCTCAACAGGCAAATCCAGAAAGAGATCTGGCGGATCCAGGATGTGATGGAGGGACTCAAAAAGAACAATCCCTCTCGGGGCACAGATACCGCAAAACACCGAGGTAAGGGCCACTTCTATTCAGAGAGATCTTGATTTTTTACTTCTTAATGAGCTGTGGTGTTGTAGTGGTTAGAATGCAGTATTGCAGGCTAACTCACTGTTCTCTGCCAGCAGTTCGATTCTGAGCAGCTCAAGGTTGACTCAGCCTTCCATCCTTCCTCATCAGTAAAATGAGGACCCAGATTGTTGGAGGCAATATACTGACTTTCTAAACTGCCTGGAGACTGCTGTAAAGCACTATGAAGTGGTATATAAGTTTAAGTGCTATTGCTAATAGCACTTTGCTGATACAATGTCCAATTAATATCTGAATGTTAAATATCTCTCTGTTAATTATCTGCCATTGCAGCGAACATGCATTTTCTGCTACCTGAAATGCTCACTGGAATCTATTGGCTGCTGTTCCGATCAGTGTAGAATTACCATTTGTTGCACTTTCCTGCTGTATCCTGGGACCATTGCTAAAAATGTCATAAAATTAGGAGGGTCATGTGGTGACCTACTTAATATCCAGAATGACTCACAATCATAATTTTGACAAAATAACTGAGTTGGAAGGGACCTAGTCCAACCCCCTGCTCAAGTAGGAGACCCTATACTATTCTGAACTTCTTAAAAACCTCCAGTGTTGGAGCACATAACTTCTGGAGGCAACCTGTTCCACTGATTAATTGTTCTGTCCGGAAATTCCTTCTTTGAGCTCAATTTCTGAATTTAAGTCAAGGACTACTTTATTTCATTTCAACAAGCATTCTTCAATCTTTAATATTGAAATATTTTGGACTCCAATATTCAATTTCTATAATGCTCAGTCAGAACAGTCTATGGCTCATTTTAAAAAATATAATAAAAAGTTCAGTTCTGTAAAGTGAAAGTTGCATGCATCCTATTTGCTAGACAGCTTCTTGTGTTGGCAGTAATATAACTCTTCTTGATGATACTGTTTTAATCCCTTTATTTTTCTTGTGCCATTTCTGTTTAACTGGCTCACTTAAAACCACTTATCCTTCATAAATTGGCCTATAATTTTAAACCAGTGGTTGCATGCAGCACTATCATCTCATCTTATGGCAATAAATTCCATCAGTTAAAACTGTGTCAAGGGAAAGAATTATTTTTTTGTTGTCAGTCTGACTGCATTTCAAATGGCATTTGAAACATATTTCTCTCTATTCATATTTCCATGCATCATTGTGTAAACTTTGTTCTCCACTACTTCAAGCTGCCTCTTTAAAAATTTTAAAGAAATTTTTAAGAAGTTCTGAATGCATTAGTTGAACTTTAAAGAGAAGGTTTCTAATCCATTTGAATAACCCTTTCTGTACTTTTTCAAATGTGCCCTATCTACTTAAAATGAAGTCAGCATGCAAAGCATTTTAGATTGAGTTTTATATGCCCTTCTGCTTTATGATCAAGTTTTAGATCTCTCTTCCCCATCCCCGCCCCTGTGACTTCCATCTCCCAAAATTAATGACAGTCTACTAAATGATGATGCTGATATAATTATTCCAAACTTGAGTATCTGCTTTTACCTTAATGCTCAGCATGAAATGTTTTTTTTCAGCTGTAGCTGAAAAGTTCAGCCCTGATGCTGCTTAAGTACAGGGCAGCAGTTCCCTATCTGTGTTACTCTGGAGTGGAGAAGCATAGAGGTCTCATATACAAATAAATTAAGTAGTTAACCAATAAATGTGGCCTTTTCTTTAATCAACCAAAGGTACCAATAACAACTAAAATAACTACAGTGGTGATACCAGGATTAAACTAATGAATACAAGTTAAGGGTTCTACAGCCCAAGAATCTATGTATTCAAAGCTACGTATGCCTTCAAAAATCCTGTTCTAGCTTTCTTTATCTCTAGAGCTAGGGAGACGTAGCAAAAAAGATATTACGTATGGGAGGGAAGTGCCTCAAAGATGCAAGTAGAGGTACTGGAGCTGGGCAACTATCTAGAGATGGTATTCAGCACGTTCTGACCAGTTCTACAGAACCAGTAGCAGAAATTTTGAGTAGTTCGGAGAACTGGTAAATACCTCTGGCTGGCCCCACCCCCAGGGGTGGATTCTACTTACCTTTACTACCAGTTCGCAAAAGGATCGTGGTTCTTGTGAACCGGTCCGAAGCGGGGGCAACCCACCACTGCCCATCTGTTCTCTGCCTCCCGAGTCCCAGCTGATCGGGAGGAAATGGGGATTTTGCACTAACCTTCCCCTGGAGTGGGATGGGAATGGAGATTTTACAGTATCCTTCCACTGCCACACCCACTAAGCCACACCCACAGAACCGATAGTAAAATTTTTTGAATCCCACCACTGGAACTATCCATTCTGCCCACAACCCTCTCTATATTAAAGTTAAAGTAATTTCTTCTTATCCATGAGCCTGAAATCAGCGTAGAGTTTACTACCCCCAGAGACTTCAGGGTCTCTGTTCTGACTTGTAGAAAGAGGATAGTGTTTTTTTTTTTACTTATGACTAAATTTTAGGGCCTAAACTTCTGTGAAAGTTAGGCTTTTCACTTGGCATTTTGCCACATGTAAGGTCAGTTACCCAGGTGGTAAGAGGCAGTAGGTGAAGGGATCTTGAATAGCTGAGAGGTTGGAAGTTGTGTGACTTTTTTTTTTCTCTCTGCTGCTGCTGCTGCTTTGTGGTACAATCCATTATTACTGTCAGACTGTCCTTGAACACCAAGATTAACACTTGTCCATTAAAAATCCCATCTGTGTCCAAAAGCAGTACAAACATTGGCTGATAGGCTTCTAGGGGGATTGTATGAGCAGTTCTTTCTCTGCCACTCCACCCTATCTGTCAGTTGTTCAAGCTGATTTTGAATTAGGATTTACTACTCTTCCAGTAGAGTGCTAAACCCAGGGGGGAATTGTTCCATGAAGTAGCCATCTGACTCTACAGCCCCCGTCATCCATCCACGTCAGCTGTTATTCAGGCTGATTTATTGGCTGAGAGATCTGGCATGTACAGAGGAAGAGCTTTGTTTGAAATAATTGTAAGAACTGGACTCTCTCATTGCTCAAGCAGAATGGCCCCAGAGGATAATGTCCAAGACCAGAATAGAGAGATATAGCTGTACCAATCTAAGGTGGTCAGTATGTGCCAGCCTGATCCTGCCACCATCGCTTATGCCATACTGATGGAATCATTGATAACACAACAGAATAACAGAGTTGTAAGGCACTTTGGAGGTCTTCTAGTCATATGGATTGGTGAAGTGCCTCAGATTGTGTCTTTGGTAAAAACCACTGCTGTTTGTTGACTGCCTAATAGGGAAAACTATCTTTAACACTGAAACATCCCATCAGGAGGGCTTAAAACCTTTTGGAATATGTGTCAAGGTTGAAATGAAGACAATGTAAGGGGTCAACAAAAGAAAACAGTGGTTACTAGGGCATACAGTATTTTAACCAGGTTTAGGAACTTTAAACCAGTGTTTCCCAATCTCAGCTGTTTTAAGATGTGTAGATGTCAACTCTCAAAACTCCCCAGTCAGAATTCTGGGAGTTGACGTTCACACATCTTAAAGTAGTTGGGCTTAAGAAACACTGTTTTACGTAGTAAGAATATTACACAGTAGAAAGTAATATTATATGCTTTCCTTATTTCCTATGTGTATAGTATATTGAGCCTCATCGCTTTTTTAAAAAGTCCTCTTTTTCCTTTTAATAGAAAATATTCCACTCCATTCACTCCAGTTATCTCCAACTCATCATCATATGTCCCTTTCCTGTAGTTCATTATTGCTTTTCTATCTGTTCCCCTTTCTTGCAGTGGCCCTTGGCCCATCAGGAACTTACAGCTCCAACAGTCCAGCCAGTCCTCTGAGCTCAGCTAGCCTCACAAGCCCCCTGAGCCCTTTCTCTCTTGTGTCTGGATCCCAGAGTTCCCCTACCAAGCAAGGCAGCAATGAGGTGAGCAAATCTCTCATCAATGAGAATGGCTAAAGGTGCTGGAAAATAGACGCAGCCAGAAGATGGCGCCTGATGTTTTTGTTTTAAAGGTTATTATTCCACCAGTAGGTGGAGATCGAAACCTTCTTCTGACATGAAAAGGTTGGACTAATTCCTCCAATGACCACAATTTAAATCTTAAGCATTACATTATTGGCTTACAACTCTTGAATGATTTCAGAGAACCAGGTAGTTAAAAGTTGGGAAATTGGTCCCAAATCCTTGAAAATCTGTACAGTTTGTTAATCTAAAGAACAAATTCCTGGTAGCTGGCAGTCGGTGTACCAGTTTACCGATAAAAACTCTGTATGTATTTGAGTTTATTTTTTATTTATTCATTTGCTTTAAATTTGGTTTTTAACGTTTTCTAGCACCTGAAAGTAAGTAGGCTAGAGGTTGATCATTATAGAAAATAGTCTCTTTCTTTGTTCTATTCAATTGTACTTTTATAAGAAGAAGCCTTTTATCAATTAAAATAATGAGCAGATGTTTTCCTATAAGGCAAGTCTCCCCATCTCTTATTTTTTTATGCTTTTGCAGTTGGCAAAAAACTAATGATGCATCTGAGTTACACCTGACATTAAAAAATTGGTCCTTCTGAATTACACCTCTGTTCAGAGCACAGTCTACGGACTCATCCTTACACCTGCTGAATGAAGCACCTTGGTGCTTTCCCAACAATTTTTGAGGGCCATGTCTTCATGACCTTGCCTTTATCTCACCATCAGTCTGCTCCGAAGCAGTCTTGAGCTATCTTTAACTGTTCCAATTTGGAAGTAATGTTTTCTTTTCTTTTTTCCCCCCTGAAAATCTTAAATACCTTAAAGACAAGCTATGATACAATCAGAGACAGCCGTCTTTGCAGCTCCACTTGGCTGGGTGAATCTGCTGTGGAAAAATCCCTTACCTCTCCAATTGTGGCCATGGCACCTCTTGACCCATTTTGTCTTTGTCTATGACAGGACCAAGCTTTGGCTGGATTTTTTTTTTTCATTACAAAATGTAAACTATTTGATGTGTATGTGTTTGTGTGCTGGGAAAATAATAAATTAGAATAAAAAAGACTGTGCGAGATACACAAATGCACATATATGGGCATACCAGTGGTGGGTTGCTACCGGTTCTCCCCAGTTCGGGAGAGCCGGTAGTGGAAATCTTGATAGGAGAGTGAACCGGTTCACTCTGAATGTCAGTTGGGCCCTCCCCCCGCGCTCGCGCTATACCTACCTTTATTTCTTTTGTTTTTAGCTCAGCTGTAAGGTGCGGCAGAGTGGATTGCCATGCCTCAGCTGTTTTTTTACTCAATGCACTTGAGCGAAGCGCAAGATCGGCACGCGTGTGAGCGAAGTGAGCAAGCATGCGGCGATTGCGTGCAAAGTGCGTGCGTGCGCAGTTTTACCGGTGGTAAAACTGGTTAAAACCCACCACTGGGGCATACACTCTGGGAAAAAATATTGGAAGAGAGAAGAGACTCTTTCTTGGGCCAAACATAATTCAGGAGTGTTATTGACTTCAGGAGAGGGAAAGCAAAGAAAGACTCGGCGCCATAAATAGAACTGAGAACTGTTTGGGCTGCCTCTGATTTGTATTTTAAATGAGCTATTCTGAACATTCAGGCAGACTTTTGTGGAGGTGTGTTATTTGACATAGATATATCCATCTTCTATTTCTTTGACAGGATTGTCAGTCTCTCAGGAGAATGACAGTCCTATGGAACAAGTTCATAGAAGGTGTCATTTAGAGGTTGTTTGGGAAGCCGATAATCCTACCAGAAGAAGCACCCAATAAATGCTAAGAATTCAAGCCAAATAAGTGGTGCAAATTCTATTATTCTGCTTTAGAAAAGCCACCTAAATATCTTGGCAATAAGTATTTCGGTACTCTAAAAGCCTGGAATGGCTTAGTTGAAATTAGTAGTATAGTAGAGTCTGATACTAATTTTGTACCATCTTAGACAGTAACGAGTTCATGCTTGCCCATCATAAATAAAAACTGAAGTCATTGGATTCAGCCAAAAGATGAGGAGAATCAGATAGCTTACTTCTTCATCAATAAAAAATTATGCAGAAATTGATAGACAAATGTGTTCAAGCTTTAAAATGTGTGGGTTTCAACTCCCAGAATTCCCCTGGTAGCATGCTGACTGGGGGAATTCTAGGAGTTGACGCCCACACATCTTAAAGCTGCTGAGGTCAATTAACACTGTGATAGACCATGTCTTTTCCTTTGTATTAGACTGATAGATACAGCAGAACAAGCCAAAAGATTTTAGTTAAATGTCTAGATTCAGTGGAAGCATCTCGTTGAGCTACTTATCAAAATCAAAATTCCTGTCCTGAAACAGTCATCATCCCTAGTTCCACTCATGTGCTATCCCTATATTTGTGTGGAGCATCACTTTTTATGTTGCCAAACCTATTGACCTCAATGTTTATGAATCAACAAGAGGTCTTTTAAGTCTACATCAGCCATGTCTTCAGATTCTGTTTTGCATTGTCTGGTGAAGCAGCAGATTGTGCTGACATTATAAAATATTTGTATTTTGAAGAATGTGTCTCAAAAGGGATGCATATTTTGAAATGGCAGATATTTTTTGAAGCAAATGAAAATCAAGTCATCATATTATGTACATTATTTATCAAGTGACGCCTGGCTAACAGTATTCTTTGGATTGGTACTGGGTTGGTCACCAAGGAAAAAGGCTGTTCATTTTGACTCCTGAGTTTTTGATGCTCAGATGCAGGTGCCTATCCTGGTTTAACATCTGTCCTTATATGTATCTGTGTCTCACTAATTCTCTTTTCCTTCACATTCTCACAGTTTCTTTGCTCTTACTCCTAATGCTTCTTGATTTCCTCTTCACTCCAGGAGCCTGGTCCACCTCGACCTCCCCTCCCCAAATCATATGTGCCCTTGGAATCTCCTCCGACTATCCCTCCACTTCCTTCTGAAAGCCGTCTCTGGCAATATCCTAACTCCCCTTCCTGGCAGGAAAGCAGCGAGGCGAAGAGGGGACAGGTATCTGAGATCTAGAGGCATAGTCTATCCTTTGCTACTTTCACCAGGCAGTAGGGCCAGAGAGAGGGCGGGCGAGGGAACCCTATGTCTAACAGTAATATTTCTGGCTCATGACATCTGTTGTGTCTTTAAACTTATAATGGATAAAGGTAGTTCCACTTGAAATACTTTTTTCTACAGGTAGATTAAGTCCAGGTATGAAAATTATTGAGCAAATAGTTGGCCTTTTTGAGAATGCAAACCATTGTTTGATTATGTAATCATGGATGAAGATAGGTAGGGTTTCAAAACAGACATATAAGCTAGAAACACAACATGGGGAGGAGGGAGAAATTAAATCATGTTACCAGAGAATTTGCTGTATTGGGACACCTCCATCCCATATCTGCAGCAGAGAAAAGAGGTTGCATGTTTTTGAAAAAAAATTCAAAGATCTGGAAAACTTACGTAAACAGAAGCAGCAAGCACTATGAAAGCAGTTTGGTCTAGTGGTTAAGGTCCTGCCTAGCCATGAAAGTCAGCTGGGTGATCTTGGGCTAGTCACTCTCTTTCAGACCAGCTCACCTCACAGGGTTATTGTGGTGGAAAAAAATAGGAAGAAAGTGTGTGTGATATGTCTGCCACCTTATTTCTAAAAATAATAAAGACAGGCGATGATAGATAGATGGATGGATGGATGGATGGATGGATGGATGGATGGATGGATGGATGGATGGACAATCTACCTCCATCCCACCAACATCACACAAAAATCTAAGTTGTTGCAGCAAAAATAGGCTGAGGCATTATTATAAGAAGTTTAAATCCTTTGTTACCTCAATTAAGCCCCTGTAAAAGTCATAGAAATGGTATTGAAATGAAGCAGAAGAAAATGGACTTCTCTAAGTATCCAAGACAGTGAATCTTTTCTGCAAAGTATTCCTCTTCTCCAAGTAGTTGCTATTTTTGTTTTCTAATTAAGGGCAATATAATTTCTTCAACTATCCTGTTCTGGTGTGGTTTCTACTTTCCATGTATAGAAGTAGGGAACAAGTGGCAGTTTATCTCATGAGCTTTATTCTCCAATGTATGTTGAGCTGGACATTTCTAATTCCTAGGGGAACCTAATAGGAGTAGAAATCCTTGCCTTTCCTGGATATTTTACCTTCACTTAAACAAAATGCATGCTAATGAAGTAAGCATTTGCCCCATCTTTTCTTCAGCTGACTAGTTTTTGATTGTTTGAATTGTTTTGGAACGGAGAAGAAAAAAACCTAGACAGATGCTTCTGATTCTTCTTTCAATATGTTCATTCTTGTTAATATTTTATTCTTGTTGCCTATTTTTCTTCTTCTCTGTTTTAACTCTATGTTAACCATCTATAATCAGAACTATGAGTTGGGTGGCCATACAAATTCCTTAAACAAAAACAAACAAACCTTCAGGGCAGTAGCAGATGTCTGTAGGCAGTTTTCTTCAGCAAGACCAGACACTTTTCAAAGGAAATATATTTTCCCGACAGTCAAAGTCCAGCTTTGAGCAGAGCAAGAAGGACCATCACCGGGCATCAGCCTCACATTCAACAGTGGAGGCTGGTCTCTTGCAGTCAAGGCAGGACCAAGATGCTGATAAGCAGGTGGCACTCAACAAAGGTACCGATAAACTGCATGTATTAAGAGAATCCATTTGTTTGCTGATTTCATCTTCTTTGCCTGCTCCAAAAGTCTTGGGATAATGGGAACTGTAGTCTGGTGTTTAAAAGAGTATAGATTGGGGATAACTGGTGTAAAGTTTGTAACTCTAAATTCAGGAAAGATAGGGTTTAAAAGCTATAATATATAGGAATACGTTACAATAAGTAAAGCCATTTATCTCTGAATTCCTTTGTTCAGAGCAATGTAATTTGTCAGTATACAAAGCAAGTATACAACATCTCATACAGACAGAGATCACACACATGCCAATACTAGCATGCTGTATGAGCCTAGTCATTCTTAAACCATGATTTGTATCTTAGCTATCAATCCATCCATTTTGGCTTATTAAGCAATCAATGCTGAAACAAATCCAAATTGCAACAGGCGAACCCATCCATAGACTTTCACAATGGGGAAAAAACTCCTGCTCAGGGGTTATTGTCTTAACAAGCTTGTAGGCCTGCCCAGTGAGTTTGGTCTCATTCAGTAAGGCTCTTCTGAAATGATTTTATCAAGAAAGTAGTTCTTGTTCCTTTCTTATCCAAAATAACTATTTGGATTACCTATCCTAAGTAAGTACCCGTCACAAGGATGGGTGGGTGGGTGGGTGGGTGGATGGATGGACAGATAGATGAATGGATGGACTGATGGATCCTTCCATCCATCTACCCACTCACCCATCCATCCACCTATCCATCCATCCATCTCTATCATCTGTCCCATTTATTTGGTGCTGGGCACCCACCTAAAAAAAATAATGGAGCAGAAATTATAATAACATTCAATGTAATATTCCAGAGTCCAAATAAATCTTCCTATTTTACAATAGATAATGAGCAAACGATAACAGGCAAACCAACCAACAGAGCTTTGCTAACACAAGTGTTAGGGTAGAATGAAGCTGGAGCCTAGGCAAGACGTGTGTGTGTGGGGGAGAATGCTTCCCAAGAGCATCCTAAGATTTTATTCTAATTGTTGGGGTTATCTGTTTTTACTGTTTTGTGAGCCAGCCATAGTTGTGCTTACAATATGAGTGGGTATAAAAGTCATTTAAAATAAATGCTTTCTATTTATGTATTGCCATTGTCAGAATCTTCTCCCTTCTTGTTAATTCCTTTGGGTTTTTTTTATCTCCTGAATAGTTGGTATTGTTCCTCCAAGAACTAAGTCACCTATGGATGATGAGACCTCACCAACATCAGGTGTGGTGAGGAGGAATGCCAATGGGCGGGATTCTCGGGTAAGGGTGAATTCTGCCATCTTTTCAATATTCTATCCATTCTTAATAATATTAATTACTCTGCAGGAAATAGTGCTGAACAATACAATAATTAAAAGCCAACAATGCAATTATACAACAAATCAGAAAACAATGTAATTGAGTGATCAATGAAAAGAAATATCAAATGAAATTTTAAAATATCAGTCCAATAATTAAACAGCCTTCAAACTAAATGCTATAATCAGATTTTTTTAAAAAACCCTCTTAAATAATGTAGCAGCAAAATTGTACTGAAAATTAAAAAGTCTATTTCCTATGGGAATGAAAAGTTCTTTGCTTGGTATCAAAAGGGGAACAGAATCAGCTTCCAGAATTCTTTAAGGTTAAGAAACCCTGAAAGCTTGAGAAGCAAGCTAGGGAGATCAGCAGAAGTATCAGCATCCTAATTGATGTCAGTGCCCTCATCAATTTCATCGGGACCTTAAAACCTATTTTTTTCAGTTAGCCGGGCTATCCTGATTTTATGGTTGGTTTTTAAAATTTGATATTGATTTAAATTGAAATGTTTTAAATTATGGGCCAAACTTTATTTAATTATTTTAAATCTATTTTAACTTTTGTGTACAAATGTTTTATTTTGGCTGTTCACCGCCCTGAGTCCGAAAGGAGAAGGGCGGTATAGAAATCTGAAAAATAAATAAATAAATAAATAAATTATAGATGATAATGTCTATATGATAAGGCTCAAACTTCTCCACTTTGACAGGGAAAGATTATATTCTTCCTATTTTACTGACAGTTCAGTGAGTTGGGAGGAATGTGATGAGAATGGTTAATCCAGGATTGCCAGAAAGAGTGAGTTAAATGTGTGACTAGTTTCATCCTTAGCCACCAGTCTAAAACAGATTTTCTTAGTGGAACACAATTATATTGAGATCTCAGGAAGGTTTCCTATACCAACAGTTTTACCTGAACACTCTCAGAAGTATTTTTGCCCTGTCTTGCAAGGGTCTTCACCACTAACATTCTCACAATCGTCCTCACAACCTATGAAGCAATTAGCACTCCTTCTAGGTGATCAACAGGAGATGCAAAACCAATCCTCCAGCCAGCACCTGCCCTGTGTTCTTATAAATGTATCACTGCATTTATTTTCATAGAAAATTAATGAGCCCATCTAAAAATCAGGATGAAATGTTATGACACCATAACTTAAACTCAGTGCAGGAAACACCCAGTTTTGAAATGCACAGTGAAAGGGCATCAAGGCATTTCTGGGAGGTGGGAGAACTGAGGACCCCGGGAGGGATGAGGTGGGGGTTCCAGCCAATGAGAAATTGCTATCCTGATAGTGAGATGTTAGCAACAAATCTACTTTGTGGAATTTCCTCCTGGATTGACAAAAATGGGAAACTCAGCATTTGTCTTTTCTTCTAATGTTTGCATTGTAAGTTAAATTAGTACTGTATTTTTCCCCAAAAAACCACAGTTGTCATTAACTCATAAATATTGTATTGTATTATTAGATTTATATCCCATCTTTATTCTGTACATCATATCATATCTTATTATGTCAAAATCATTTGATATAACCATACCATGCAGAAAAAAATTACTATAGTGTTCTAGTTTCAACATTTTGCAAACTTCTTACTGCATTTGCTATCATGCTCAAGCACACTTTGCCAAACTCCTCCTTCCATAAACTGTTGTATTAACAGCTAGTCATCTTTTGATTCAAAAGCTGGGCTGCTATTCTACTGAGTTATTTCCCATCTTCTAACACAAATGTTAACAACATAAAGATGTTGTTATCAGGATATTTTCTGTCCTGAATCTGCCCTCAGAAAAAAAATAAACCAAGATTTTGATAAAACAAAAAGCCTGTGTAACCACCAGGGTCCTGTGTTCTCCCTTAGGACAGGCCAAAGAGTGCTGTGTTTTCCAATGAGATGAAAGCAAAGATGAGTGTTGAGGAACAAATTGATCGCATGAAACGCCATCAAAGCAGTTCTATGAAGGAAAAGAGACGGAGCTTGCAACTTCCAGCCAATCAGCAGCAGACAGATAGCCCTCTCTCAAAAGCACCTGCCTCTTATAAAGTGGTAATTAATTTATTTTATTAGTGAAAACTAATCTTCATCTTATAAACCACTCAGATATACTTCAGTAGTAGTATTTTCTTGAGAAAAAAATGATCAAGCAGTGTTTCATACAGATGTTTTGCAGGTACTGAAGTTAAGAACTGGGCTGAATGATAGACAGTCAAATACACTTAAATTCTGTAACAATTATTAGGAGGCAGTAATTTAGACTTATTACTACAAGTGGAGTTTGCAATGATAAACCTATATAGTAGTTGTGCAGACCAAATCAGAGTTTGAAATCCACATGACTGAAAATCTGCTTCATTCCACCCTTTCCCCATTAAATATTTCTTTGCACAGTAAATTATGCTGTCCTAAAATTTACTTTCTGACATCTGTTGCTCTTTCTGTGAAGACATTTCTTAATTCTCTAGTATAGAAGAATAGTCATGGGAGATTCAGCCAGTGCAGCTCCAAGTTGATCAAGACTACCAAGTGATCTGCCAAGCTAGAAATAATATTGACAATCAATGAAGGCAAATATACATGTTGCAGGATCCAATCTGGATTGGTCACTGGGACTAGAGATTTAGTCTTCCGGGCTTTCAGACTCGTGCTGGAGCCCACCCTCAATGAACTTTTGTCTCATATATTCTGGTGAGAGAGAAATTCCCTAAGGAAGGACTCCAACACAAGTCCAAAAGTTCAGAAGACTAAACCTCTGGCTCCAGTGATCAACCCAGATTGGATCCTGCAATATTGACAATATCTTAAGTGGTCTATTTTGCTCTAGGTTCGCAGGCATCGCAGTATCCATGAAGTGGATATATCTGATCTGGAGGCAGCATTGCGCTCTGAAGATTCTGGCAAGATGTATGAAAGCCCCCGAGATGAGATTGCTCGCCTGCGCAAAATGGAGCTGGAGCCAGAACATTATGATGTGGACATCAGCAAGGAGGTGAAATACATTATTGATTTGAATCTCAGCACATCAAAAGTGCAAACTGCCTCTTTCCCAATAATGTATACTGAGATCTAGTTGCCTTCTGTGAAACTCAAAACTCTGTGTGGTTGGAGCAACATGAGCTGAGAGTTTCACTTGTCTGTTAAGGATAGGACCAATGAAAAGTCATACAGGTGCGGGAGAGGAACTAAGAATCCTAAACTTTGTATTTATGAAAAGCTTGGAATGTTTGATTTTAATATAGCCCTAAGAGTTTCAGAGCACAGATGCTTTGAGCATGATCTGAAATATATATTCTGGAATGTATAAAATAGTTATTAGGATTGGATAGTAGAAAAAGGGTAGACTAGACTAGACTGTAGCAGGGGTGAAATTCAGCCAATTCTATCCGGCTCGGGCGAACTGGTAGCTGCGGCTGCGGGAGGCTCCGCCCACCCACGTGGACATCATGACATCACTTTTTTTGATGCAAAGAAGGCTTTGTACATGCGCAGAAGGCTTTATGCATGCATGGACGACAGCAAGTGCACATTTGCGAACCGGTAGGGAAGGTAAGTGAATTTCACCCCTGGATGGTAGGTAGGATAGGGTAGGGTAGGGTAGAATATATTACTAAGTGAAACATTTAACAAGGCATTCATAATCATTGCCACTTATTGGCTGTTTTTGTTATTCAGCTTTCCACTCCAGATAAAGTCCTCATTCCAGAAAGGTATATTGAGCTGGAACCTGATACTCCACTGAGCCCTGAGGAGATGAAGGAGAAACAAAAGAAAGTGGAAAGGATAAAGACACTGATTGCTAAATCCAGGTACAGTGCTATTTTACACATTTTGACTTTCCCGTGTAAAATATTTTGGAATATTTTATCCTTGATTTGGAGGCTATACATTTGGCCTTGCTGCTTATTAACAGCACTTTCCAGTAGCCTCTTAATATTCAGAAGTTACTAATGTTATATAGGTTTCATTCTGTGTTCTTCTGTGCCTTGTCTGTACATCTGGACTTGCTGGATATGCCTCATAGCAATTCCAATCTATAGTAGATAGGAAAAATAACTTATCTAAATATTTACGCCCCCCAAATTCACTCACTAGAAAATGAAGAAGAATATTAATTTTGTAAAGGAAGAGTGATTGTGTTTACATAACTAAAAATGGCCATTTGTGTTTTATAGAAATATATTAAAAATTATATTAAATAAATAGGATGTTTTACATCTGTTTCCATCTTATTTTATTGACCTTGTAGCTTTGAGTGTTGGGCGTTGAAATAACTTGTGTGTTCTCTCTTGCAGCATGCAGAACGTCATCCCCCTCAGCGAGGGAGAGATGGACTTGGCCCAGGACCCAGAGACTCAGTTACAGGAGCAGGAAAAGCGAATTGAGATCTCCTGTGCTTTAGCTACAGAAGCCTCCCGACGAGGCCGCATGCTGTCTGGTAAGATGAAATGCTCTGCAGCATTATCAGAAGATCAGGCAACGGGGTATCACAGTCCCAATAAGAGCAAAGCTTTTGCTTCCACTGATGAACTTGGCCAGATAGTGTTGCTTCAGCATTTAAGTGATTGTAGTGATATTGGACATTATAACAAAATAAATGAACTAGAGATCTAGCCTCCAAAATAAATTGAATTTGACAGCCCAAGTGGTGGAAATTAATCAAATACTTTAAATGGTTTGTTTAAATTCATTAAAATTATTTATAAAGGTTAGAAAATTGTCATAAGAAGCCAACTATGCTGTTGTACTATTTTAAGTTTCTTTTGAAGTCAATGAGTCATTTGGCATTTTTCTGTCACTGATACTAATTTCCAGAAAATGTAAACCAATGAATTAATCTGATTTGTTAAATGGCACATACAGTATCAAGCCTTTGACTGAATGGCAATGTCTCAGGGGTTCCACTTACTTTTACTACCGGTTTGCAATGGGAGCGCATGCGCAGAAGCTTCTGTGCATTAACAGATCAGCAGTGATGACGTAGGGGCGGGTGGCGGAGGCTCCCACCACCATTACTATCAGTTTGCAAGAACCAGACCGAACCGGGAGCAACCCACCACTGCAATGTCTTCTCCTCTAATTTGTAACTCCAAGAAAAGCAACTCCAACTTCTTATACCTTCTTACTATAGGTCAGCAGCAGACAACTTAGAGACCTGAACATTTTAAGGCACTTTTTTTAAAATATAAATTTTATTAATTTTCTATTAATTACATTTTTATTCAATTAATTACATTTCTTAGTGCTTAATAAATATCATGTAGTTGGGTATTTAATTTGCTTAGCATTACAAATTTTATTCTTAACCTCCACCCTTTTTTCCCCCAACCACTGGCACTTTTTAAAGGTTAAAAGAATCACTGAAGGCATTGAATATGGAATATTGTGTTGTTTTATTTTATTTACAGTGGGAGTAAGGATTTTTTTCAAAAAGTAGAATCTGTGTGTTAAGCCATCCACAGGTAAATTTTAAAAATGCCACCAAATGTTGTCAATATGAGGCATAGTGAGTTGTACAAATGAGAGTTACATGCAGCCTATTGACCGCACACTCCTCTGCCTTAAGGTATCTGTAAGTAACAGGTTTTTTTGTGAATTGAATACACTACATTGCTGCCAATTTTTCAGGCTGCTCTATCTCATATCTTGTCAGTATCTAGACTGCAGAAATGAGGGTGCTGGATGAGTTTGTTCCCCAGTCATTCCTCCTCCTTTATTCTTCCGTTTACTGAGGAGCTGCAGGCAATGAAGGTGGTAAACGGGATGCCGAGAGCAATGGGGTGAGAGTGGGGCGGATAAATGAAACCAGTCATTGTGCCCAGTTTGGTAGTACATCATGGTAATAAGAGTGGAGAAACATGCTCCCATCTCATGTTACCTTTATTTATTTATTTATTCATTTATTTATTTATTTGCATAACATTGTTTATTGCATTAACATCTGGCAGCTCTGTTCAGAGTTACTTTTAGGGGAAGAGAGGGTAAAGATCTTTCTGAATATTCTATGATAAAATAAATAAAAATCATCTACATGTACGTACACGAGACCAATCAAGTTGGCCACGCCCACCTAGTCACATGACCATCCCAGCTGGTCATTAGGGCAGAGAACCAGTTGTTAAATTATTTGAATCCCACCACTCTTCCCACCCCACATGAAATGAGGGGTGTAGGAGTTATGAACATGCCTTCTCAATGACTGCCTCCACACTTTGGACCACCTTACCTCCTGAGATAAGCAATGCTTCATGAAGGCATCAAAGACCTTACTCTTCTGCAGAAAATTTGGCACTAATATTAAATGGGCATTCTTATACTAGTTGGTTTAAGTGTCTATTTTGCTTTATTCAGAGCCATGCTGAATCCTCCGGGAAAATTGAATATAAATTTTAAAAAGCCATGCTCATTATATAGGACAAAGACACACAGTTTTCTTGCCCTGGTGTGAGGACACTCACTAACCATTTCCAAAAAACATGCACGAGTATGTTAAAGTTCTATGAATAGCAGTGCAGCACAGGGCCATTACAGGTTTGTAGCAAGGTACAATGTGATGGCAACAAGATTTAGGGCAGCATTTAGGGCAGCATGATGGCTCAGAGGGGAAGAGAGCACAGCAAAGAAGATATGGCGACAGGCAATTCTTCACTTCTTCCAAAGAAGGCATTTTTCAAACTCCTCAAAGAACCAACTTTTATGGTACTCTGCCTCAATTTTATTCCTATACCAGAAGGACCAGCCATCTCTGAAGGTAGCATTTATTTGAAGAGGCTAGAGCTATCCAACTTAACCTGAGTGCAAGTATTATAAATTGAAAGGTTGAGGAAGGTCAATAGCAGTTACCCGTATCAGTCTTGAATATATGTATGTTTGAAATATGTCCAGTACTGTGGTATCCATCTTGGCAAAAGGCATTTAGGACAGTTAACTACTCAAATATGCTTGTTCTGCATTATTGCATTAAAACATTACCTTCTACAGTTCATTGGAAAGGTATTTCTTCTTGAAATATTTCTCACTACTGCTGTACATCGCTGCTGAAGAAGCTATTGTACAATAACTATAGTTGCCTTATAATCAGACTTGTGCCAAAACATGAAATTCTTCTTATTCAAATTGTCCTTTGTCCTAAATTGCTACACATTTGGGGGTGACTCCAAAAATCTGTTACTTTCCATGAATATTAATACTTAATATGTAGTTTACTAAATTGGCATTGACAGAAATTAATTTAGTCTTCATCATATGGCTGGATATGATTTATAGCAGCCCTCTGCAACTGGGAAATGGTTGGGATTCTGAACACTGTTGTCTCAACACAGAACATATTTGGAGGGAACCAAGCTAGAAAAGGCTGGCCTTGTGGCCTGTATTTATACAGAGCAATTATTGTAAGTTAGATTTCGGTTTATTCTGTGGGTAGAAATGTGGATGCCCTAGAATCTCACTTAGAATTTTAGGAGAGCCTCAGAGTGAATGGGACCACATCATTCATGTGGGATTTGGGGGATTATTTGTATTTTTATAAATTAGTTTTCTAAAATTTCTCACCACAAAATGACAAGAAATGGAGCCTTCTATTTTAGCAATTATGGTCAAAGGGCTATCCACCTGGAATTTGGGACTGCCCACAGCCCAGCTTGACTCCATAGTTTAACCTGAGCAATACTCATGGGATCTATTTGTAGGTAATGTAGTACAGCCATTTTCTACTGCTGTGTGATTTTGTGTTTCCTTTTTTTTTTCTTTTAATCCATGTTTGCTCAATGGATTGTGTTTCTTTGTCTTAGTTTTCTCCTCCCTTCACCCACCCCCTCACCCCTCTGTCTGAAGCACCGTATATTATTCAGGCTCTATTTCCATTTCTTGTTTTCAGCTCAATGTGCTACCCCGAGCCCTCCCACTTCCCCAGCTTCCCTGACTCCACCGACCAAGTCCCTCTCGTCTGACTCATCCCAGGGCACCGACAGTCATTTTATGCGTGCCTGAACCTTAAAGTAAGCACTTTTTGTATTATACTTCCATCTCGTTTCATGTGTACCTGTGAAGAAAAGAAGTGGTAGGCTTCTTTTTCAACAGAGTTTCATCTTTTCATCAAACCCACCCATCCACCAAATATCCATTAAGCTAACCCTTTCTTCTTTGCCACATAAGCCCAGTCTCCTTCTATGGAATGCTTGCAAAAACTTATCAATGAATTGAGCTGCCACATCCTTTTCTGGATTTACGAGGACAAAGTAGCCTAATTTCATCATTTGTTTCACTTACATCAATTTAGAGCAACGTTACAGCAAGTCTTCTAAACTGAACATAGTGCTATAACGTAGAGGATATTAGCTGTTGCCAAGAAGCCCTGGTTACATCTCATTTCAGTCATAAGCTCTCTAGGCCATTGGTATTTTTCTTTGATTTTCTTAAAACCAAAGGTTAGTTTGGAGATAATGAATTTAAACAGAATAGTCAGAGATTCAGATTTACCTGGAAAAAAAAAAAGGAAGGTGGGATTGCAAGAAGCAACAGGAAGTTAACTAGGTGTCTCTTATTATATATTTGGTTCTGGATCCAACATTTGGGAAAAATGATAATCAAAAGCATTCTTAGTCTTTGAGCCATGGTGACGCAGTGGTTAGAGTGCAGTACTGCAGGCTACTTCTGCTGACTGCCGGCTGACTGCAATTTGGAAGTTCAAATCTCACCAGGTTCAAGGCTCAAGCTTTCCGTCCTTCCGACGTGGGTAAAATGAGGACCCAGATTGTTGGGGCAATATGCTGACTCTGTAAACCGCTTAGAGAGGACTGTGAAGCAGTATATAAGTCTAAGTGCTATTGCTATTGCTAGTCAAAACTGGTATTTGCCATCTTGCTATGATTATTCTATTACTTTCAAGATGTGCATGTGTATATCAGCACACAAATGCCAAACTGCCATATTTTGGACAATATAGCTACAAAAAAAAAACAACACTGTTTTTGTTAGTTAATCTACTCTATTCCTGACAGTTATTACTGTTTTTAAATAATTGAAAGAAATAATTGAAAGACGGAGTTAATGATTTACTTTTTATGCCCCAAGTCCATAATTTAAGCTGTGACTTTATGCACATATAGCTATCCTGGCAGCCATAAAAGAGATATATCAAGTAAGAGTTCACAGGATAGCTCTGTCAGTCCAGCTGTCTTCTATAATTGGTAATGTGGAAGGTAGTCCAAATATTATTTGAGCACTGGGTTTCTATGTTTTTAAAGACCCTGGGGATTGAATTAGGGAGACAATGCTGGAATGTTGTGGCATCCAAAACAGGCTTTGGCCCATACAACTCCAGTTCCATTGAAGAGATAACAGGAATTTAATTTCCAGTCCTTTTCCCAAGGGCCAGTAAACATTTCCATTGTGCTCAGAACAGTAAGAATAGAATACTGCTCTTAATACAGCTTTAATACACTTTAAACAGAGAGATAACCAATGGAGATGAGTAAACTGAGATAGATTGTGGAAGGTAGGTTTCTGCCCTGACATTTTCTACCATTTTTATTTTTAAAGGCTCAAGGAAAGTAAGAGTACTCTCAGCAACCACCAAAAGGAATTCATTGGAAAATAATGCAGTCCCCATTCTTCTCTCCACCAGTTTTTCCAAGGGAAGGACAAATGCTTGTTTGCCTTTATTCACAGAGCTGGTCACAAGCTTTGTTCGGGCCTCTGGGCCATTAAAAGTATTATTCTCCCCTCTCCACTTAAATGCTAGACTTCTGTCTTCTGGTTAATGATGGCTGATTTGGGAGTGAGATTGGCAGTGGAAGAGATATAACCAGCAGTGGTGGCAGCACTTCCATCAAATGCTTATTCCTTCTGTGCCATGCTATGGATGCATTGTGGCCCCATGTTCGAGCTACAAATCTGGACTGACAAAGCTGAATGAACATTCAACATGTCAGCAAATTCCTTACCTATGCGTCTTAGTTATATTTATACTGCTGCCTGCAAGCTTCATCTTCAGTGATTATCACTAATTTTTTTTTATCTGTTCTCTTCCCCCTCTGGTCTCCCCAGCACAAGCCCTGGCTGCTGTGAATGCTGTGAAGTTCCATGGAGCCACATTTTAACACATGAATTTGCCCTCTCAACTCTACTGCTTAATAATGTATACAACCATTCCTGTGATTTGCCAACTATCTCCTGCGGTTGAGCTGCAGAAGCATTCAGGAAGGAAAGCTGCCTCTGAAGAGAACAAGTGTGCTTTTGTCTTTGCTCTGGTTCTCCTCCCACTGCTGCCAAAGCCTGTACCAAAACCTCTCAGATGCCTGGTCTATAAAAGCAATTAAAGAAGCAGCATCCAGGAGAAGTTCCATTCTGCAAGATGGCTTCTTCGTCCCTGCAGGAGGTCTCAAGACAAAGGACCAGTGGCTAAAGATCAGCAGAAGCATCAAATAATTTGAACGGAAAAAGGAAAGCTGGTGATAGCAGGGGGATGTACAATTTCCTATCCTTAGGTAGCCATTTCCTAAATTGCTAACCTTCATCACTTATTTTTATTTTACTTTTTTTCTTAGTTTGAGGGAAGAGAAATATATAAGGAATAGATTGTCATGGCAGCCAGAGACTTTATAACCACTTTATTGAATTGAACGACATATTTTTCTTCCTCACATTTTGTTCCCATCTGCCAATCTGATTGGCTCTAGAAACTTTAATCTATGGAACTAAGCAACCCATGCATGGTCATGTTGCTTACACTTATATCTACCTGCTCACAAGAAGAGAAAGGAGGGAGCATCACTGAACTTTGTGGATACGGCAGATGAAGAAAACAGAAGGTTGTCGGTGTGGAGGGGAAAAAAACAGAAACAGCTTTGGAATCTGCTAATTTTGGGGAGTCTTGTGATAGCTGTGATATGCTGAAGAGTCCCCTCCCCCTCACTTTTCCTAAGTTTACGAGGAAGATGGAATAGGAAGTATGTGCAATGTGCGTGGACATGTAATAGAAGTGTGGATGGAAGATACAAAGGGGAAGGATGGCTACAAAAGAGTTCAGTTTGATCGGATAAACCACTTTGTGTGTTTTAAGTTTACTGTACTCAGAACTGGGACTGGTAGGTGACATATTTATTCTCATACCAGAACCAATTCAAAATAGTGCCACTCAACTCTTGGTTCTCCAGGATATAGGTTGGAGCCAGAAAGAAAACTGTATGCTGTGAAGATCTCAGCATAAAGAAACTAATGAAATAGTAAGTCTGCAAGAGAAATGGAAATGTGTCTGAACTTGACTAAAGCAAGCTATGAGTTGATTCCATAGTATGTGTAAATCAATTCTCTCCTATTTATCATTGGGAGAAGAAAGCGAGGCTTCTTCAATTTCTGCCATTTGTAGCATTTCTCTCAACTTTAGAATAATAGAGCAACATTTGCTTTGAAGTAGAATTCTCTCACTTTCTCACACAGAGTGCTTTTCATCCATCTCTGTCCAAGCTAGAGCTACAATAACAATGGCTGATGATCTTTCAGAGGAGCTAAGCTCCTACATCAAAAGTGCAAGTCCTTTGCTGTATTTGCTTCTATCAGCATCTGAAAAGTGGCTGCTTCCCCAAATGAGTCCTCATTTTTTTCCCTAATCAAATTGTGAAAATAACTCAGAAGGACAGAACAGAGGAGAGTTATTGTACAAAAACAGGACTTGGGAAATTTACTCTTGTCAAGTACAGAAATGTACCAAGATGTCCTAACTTATATTATGCTAGATCAGAGATCTAACTTGGACCTTTTCCACACCGCAGTTGTACGCTAAAAGGTTTATACATGGTGAATCCTGAACTGAATACCATTTAAAGCTAAGATGACCTTACCTCTTCAGAAATAATCAGACTCTGCATTAAACCTTGCAACACCTCATAATCAGAATTCCATACCATTGAACTTGGGCACAGACAGGACTTTTCACCCAACGTAGTGTTTTTGAAAACAATCTGTCTTATTAATAGATGGATCAAAATATAATTGGATGATCGTGTGGCCCATACATTTATTTCAAAGGCTACCAAAATTGACCATACCCAATATAAAGCCAACTAGAATCGATTTTATGGAAGCGAATAAAATTGTTCTAGTTATAGATCAGAATACAAAAAAAAGACAGCTAGCTTTTTTATAATCCTGACGTAGATTTTCAGTGAATTCACTGCCATGTTTTCAAAAATGCTGCATTTCTTCCCCCACCCCTAATGTTTTGCTTCTTTACAAGTACAGTTAGTCGTCAATGTACAACCATGGTTGAGCCCAAAATTTGTGTTGCTAAGTGAGACATTGTTAAGTAAGTTTTGCCCCATTTTACAACCTTTCTTGCCACAGTTATTACAATTCTTAAAGTTAGTAATATGGTTGTTAAGTGAATCTGGTTTCCCCATTGACTATGCTTGTCAGACGTTTATAAAAGAGGATCACATGACTCTGGGACACTGCATCCATCATAAATATGAGTCAGTTACCAAGTGTCTGAATTTGGATCACATGACCATGGGGATACTGCAATGGCCAAAAGTGTGAAAAATGGTCATAAGTCACTTTTTTCAGTGACATTGTAACTTTGAACTATCACTAAATGAATTGTTGTAAGTCGAGGATTACCTGTACTCAAAGGAGAATATACTAGTGAACAGGTGGCACCTCAGACTACAGTATGATTTGAGTCCTAGTTGACAATTTAGCACTGTTGAAATTATCATATATTTTGTCATATAAACATGTCCATAAATATATTGATCAGTTTTATCCAAAGATTTATCAAAACTGGGTGTCCTATTTCTGTATTATTGGAAGAAATAACACTGCTTCAGTGTCTAATATATGCAACTCTTAAGGCAGGCATTAAATGCAAATTTGGTTATGGAACATAAGCCCTCCACTCCCCTACTACTCATTTTCTTCCATAATTCAGATTATTTTAATTGAATCAGGATTCTTTACAAGTGTTACATGAAAGACTAGCTTGGATCCCAGCTGAAATAGAAAATGTCAGCTTTGAGCCGCACTGTTCCTTATGTTCATACGTCTTCAAAATAGTCTTGAAAATTCTCACCATTTTTCCAGGCTATCAAGAAGACTAATTCTTTCCTGGCTTTTTAGGGATATATTTAATATCCAAATACCTAGTTTAATCAATAAATGACATGCGGTATCAATACACATAACTCTTTCAAATTCAAGTTTAAGTAGGTATGAAATTTAATTTGCCTTGATTTTTTGTACAACAAAATGAATTAAAACTGTAATTTAAAGAGCAAAAGGAAGAAGCATCTCCAGAGCATATTCTTCTCCCTTGATACCACTTTTTGCAACAGAGAAGTTATGCCAGGGAGAAATCATTTAGGAAGAATAGATAACTAAAATGGAGAGAATTCAGTATTTATAATATGTACCTTACCCTGTACACTCTTCTCAGCATATAAATGATTTGGGCAACTCCCACATTGAAGAGTTAGAGCTGTCCTCTTCAACTTCCCAGGAAAAGACAATGGCAAACCACTTCTGTTGTCAAGAAGGCTGCAGGTGCACATAGTCACCAGAATTTAAACTTAGGGATATCAAGTCTAGTTTGATCTCAAGAGAATAGAGTCCTGTTTACAAAATGAAAAGAGCTAACGACAGTGTTACCAAATGATTCTTTGTCACCCCTGTTTGTGGTAAGGATATAGTTCTAAAGTAATAGTGCATTGGTGGAATTTGGCTGGTTCAGCAGAGTCTCTTTTGAAGACTGAAAAAACATGGAGAGACCAAGCATATCAGTCCATTAGGAGGAATATTTCTCAGGCCCACACATAGTAGAAGTCTTAAGTTTCAAAATTTACTTATGCTTTTCAGGGAGTAAATCCCACTGAAATAGATATGGCTTATTTCTGAGCAGACCCACAAAGGTGTGCATCTCTTAGGCTTTAATCCTCAATGTGCTTATTGTAAGGCTTTACATCCACACTGGAGCTTCTAAGCATCCATACATATATTATTCTGTTGAAATGAATGTTCAGAAAATTGAAAGTTAACTCCACGGTATCTCTGGAAGAGTTCTGATATTGTTATTTTTAAGAATTTGTCTAAGAATCTATTTCAATGTGTATTAAAAGGAATTAATATCTCAGCACCCAAAAATCATCCTTCTGATCTAAGAGCTTAAGTGATAAATGTTTCCCCATCTCTTGCACTGTGGAATCTAGTTTTATCAGGTCCTCTGTCCTGCTGCTTGCCACAAAAGAAGCACCGCCTTGGCATGTCTAAGAGTTCAGCTTCATCCATATTTACAAGAGAAACCTTCCATCTCCCTGTCCAATAAAGATGACGTCTCCTTTTTATTATTTAAACGAACCTGTTGGCAATACGTAGATCACTCCAGAGAATCAGAGTTTTAGACCCTTCTCCTTTAGCAATACTGTTGACATTCCACGTTGATGAAGATGATGATGAAAGTATTTCATTCTGCTCTTGCAGTAGCTTCTGTTAGTTCATAAAATGTTATCCCTTCATGATCCTCTACATGCCTTAATATGTGTTTTTAAAAATTATACCGTGATATATATGTGTGTGTGTACATTTATATATATTTTATATATATATATAATATATGGGTTTTCTTCCTCTTCTCCCTATACTAATTTCTTTTGGGCTAACTTTCTCTGTGTACAGGGCTGCTGAAGCCTGCTTTGCCACTGAGTTTCTGAAATACAGACGCTGGGTGGTATATCAAAATAATTAAAGAAATTTTAAAAGGCATATTTAAATAAATATATATTTTTCTGCTTTTTATTAAAAGCAAATTTATTTAAAATGAATGAAAGCTGTCTGTAAGGGAGTGGTGCATTTATTTCCTTGTTACTAGGTAAGCTCATGTTTTCTATACCAGGGCTTAAGCCTCAGTTGATGCAACTTGGCAATAGCTTACTTGGAACTAGCAAAGCTGAGTTCACTTAACCCTGGGGAAGTTCTGGCTTGAAAGATATGTCGTCAGATGAATTATAGAACTGTAGCATATCAGGGACCGCAAAGATTGTCTCGCTGGTATACAGCTATCCCACTGGGATCCTTTGCAATAGAGGTGGCTTTGAAATGTTGATGCCACTTGTTTTTTACCTCCCTTTTGTTCAAATTTGTTCATTTTGTGTGGTTAGCAGAGAGAAATCCCTGCAAGATGATTGTTTTATTTTCCTCTCTTCAATCACAATTGCTCTCTAAGCTGCCGTATTTACCTCCACAATGCCCAATCTAGTGGGAGAAAGGTACATCTTTCAGTCGGTACATGTTTTTCCTTGCTGTGATTTGACCCATACCAAATGCTAGTAGCTTAGTAGAGAGATGAAGTAAGAGCTGAGGAAAGGCCTTAGTTAGCCTATGTGAAGGATTTGGCCCTCTCTTAATTTAGAGAGTGGCTCCTTATTTCTACCTCTTTTGAAGACTCGGAGGTAGTGGTCCTACTTGTGCAAGTGCTTGATAAACATGGCAGACAGCTTGAAAGGAAATCATTCCACCAATATTTTAGGGTACAGAGGGTAATGTAAAGATGGTGTTACATTTTGGAGTCTCAGCTTCTGTCAAGGAAGTGCAAATCCCTTCTCAAATCATTTTTTTCTCCCTCCCTACATGTAAAACTGGCACTTTTTTTTTTTTTTTGCTATTGTGGAAAGCATTAAAATGACATAAATAACATCAGAAAGCATTATCTCACCCTTCTCAAGCCCTCTGTTCAATTCATAGCAAGGTACGATTGTAACTGATTATTGCCAATGTCACTTTAAGCATTCTGAGACTTCTAATCAGTATTTCTCAACCTTGGCAACTTGTAGATGTGCGAACTTCAACTTTCAGAATTTGCCAGCCAACAGAGCCGGCTTTCCCATAATTGACTAAAGAATTCTGGGAGTTGAAGTCCATGTGTCTTTCAGCTGTCAAGGCTGAGAAAAACTGCTCTAAATTCTCAGCAGAGCACATTTAGGGTCACAGTTTTGCAGTATTGTAGAACCCTGTTTTTAAAATGTTTTATTTTTTGTGTACATGTGCGTGTGTGTTCCTTTCTAATAAAATTTTCATATACCAGCAGCACCTGCAACCAACAAATACTGCATTATTTATGCACATTATTTGGAGAGAAAAAAAAGTAGTGTTAGATGTTAAAATTATCAAAGAAGCAATGTGATGTTAATGTCTTTTTTTTTCTTTTTGTATAAAAGTGACCTTAGATTATGACAATTATAAAAATTAGCTGTTCTGTGATTGAAAACAATATGTTGGTGACTTGGGGGTTCTTCACACCAAACCAAGGGATAATCTTTCCATAATTAAACCCACAGTGGCTTACTTAATATTCTTTCCTGCAACATTTGTTCTAGATGTAGTTACTTTAAAAGGTCCTCCCTCTCAAAACCAACACGTGCAAGAAAAACAAACAAAAATAAATGCATTTGTACCTTGCAAGTTTGTATAAAGCAAATAAATAAAAAAATGGATGGTTTATAACTAGACTGTGTGTGCTTATCTTTCTTTAACATGTAAGTGTGAGACCTAAGAAAAGGAGGGATAGAAAGGTGTACTATATATAGTTGTCCTCAGAGTGTACTGTTCTCTATATTTCTATATATTTCAGCTGAATATGTATAGTTACATTTATTTACTATTGAATTATTTTTCACTCACTGCAGTTGAAGGACTCTTGGAGGCTTACATCTCCATGGCACAGTTACATAACGATAAAGAATAAACTGTCCGTCCCCCTCCCCAAATAAACCACCAATAAAGTCATAAAACGAGCAAGAAGGAATATAAATCACAAGTTTTCATCTCTTAATGATATGCCAGCAAATACTATATAGTTGCACTCCTATCAGTGTTCAAGGTTGAGAACCTCCTTGTGTACCATAGCTAAGTATAGAAACTATATTTTCTCTGTTATAAAGGAAGTGAGGCTCCAAAGTTAAATTACTATGGATGTTGAAACCATTATCATCCTATAGTACAGTTTTTACTCAAACACATCTAGTAATAATATATGAAATTAATACAAGAAACTATTTTTAGAAAAAAATGACTATACATTTCATGTATATAATGCTCTGCATGAGTCATTTGTTTTCCTGCATTAGCTTATTTAGTAAGTATTAATATGATACATGTTCTTCCTTATAAAATATGTTTTGTGACTCACGCAGATGATGTAGATGTCCCTGGTCCTTTAATTAGTTGTATAATGATTCTTTGTGCTGATTGCCTGGTCAAGAACTGAAACTTATTTTTTAATATAACAATATATCAGTGTATTAAAAGGAAATGCTCCTAAAGTACATTGGAGAGAGAGAAAAATATGGTATTTATATGGAAAAGAGAAAAATAGCAAAATGCGAACATAAAACAATTTCTATAAGATAATCAGAATCTCAGTAGCCCCTCCTATTCCCTAGTAAGGAAGCTTTTTCTGATGTTTACTTGTTTCCTGTCTTCTTACTAAAGTATGCATTTGCAACTGATCTCTAGCAATTTATCATTCATGGGATTGTACGTTTATCCTTTATTTTTTAAAAAAGTAATGATTCACAAAAAGTTAGACAAAAGAGAATACAGATTTGTATTAAAGTAGCATATATTACTCATGGGCATCGAATCACATTTAGAAATTGAAATTCTAGTAAATATGCTGTGCATCACATCACACTAGGGACCAATTGGTTGTTATTCTGCATCTCAGGTTTTGCTTTCTCTTTCTTAAGGCTTATTTATTCATTCATTTATTCGTTTGTTCTTTCTTCCTTCCTTTCTTTCTTTCTATATCCCACCATTATTATTTTTACAAATAACTCAAGTGGTGAGCATACCCAGCCCATCTTCCTCCACCTATTTTTCCCCACAACAACCACCCTGTGAGGTAGGTTGGGCTGAGAGAATGTCCTGCCCAAAGTCACCCAACTGGCTTTTATGTTTCTTATTACACTGACAGTTTGTCAGGCAGAGAACCACCTTTAAAGAAGAGTCTGTCTTCTGATAATCATTCTGTCAGAGTAGCATTTCTCAACCTTAGCAACGTTAAACTGTATAGACTTCAACTCCCAGAATTCCTCAACCAGCATTGAAGTCCTCAGGGGTTAAAGTTCCCCCTGGGGCTCCGGGTGGCCCCTGACCTTCGTTCTTTCCGCTGAGCCTTAAAACATGGCTATTCCGCCTGGACGGTTTGGACTGAAGGGGTTTTAGAGGGGATTTTAATGGTTTTTATAGTTTTATTGGGCATTTTTAAAAAAAATTGAACTTTGTGTGTTTTATTGTTGTGAGCCGCCCTGAGTCCTTTCGGAGATAGGGCGGCATATAAGTCCAAATAATAAATAAATAAATAAATAAAGTGGTCATGATTGAGAACCACTATATTAGATGACAATCCTCTGCAAAGTAGGCCAAGCCATCCTACATCTTGTTTTCCAACTACAAAAAGGAAGTCATGATAACAGGTCTTAGAGGAAAACAAAAACAAAGCCAGGGCTAATGGGATTTTGGGGGTGGGTGGAAAGAGTACCTGATTTATTAAACCATACAAATACTTGCACAAGTAATGTTACTTTTTGCAGCATTATTTTGGAAATGCCTCAGAGCTTGGCTCAAGGATCCCTTTTCTTCTTTTTAAGCACAGCTATAGGCTGTTACTAGACGCCACTATCTATTTCCTATATGATTGTAACAACACTGCTCACCTTGTAAGATCTATAATGATAGTTCAATGGAGTCTCCATTGCAGAGAGGTTAATAATTTGCAAGATGATGCAGTAAGGGCTAAAGGTCTTTCCAAGGTTCACTAACTGGGAAATACATGGGAGTCTTGACAGCCAATCCTTTCTAAGCCTTCAGCAGGAAATATGTTGGAAATTACAGACATTCAGAGTAAGTATGAATTTAGCAAATAGGGTTTTGTGGATCATATTTCAGCAATATGTCATTGGTTTCACTAAAAATATAATAAAAGCTAATCATGGTGTCTGTTTGAAAGCTCGGCCTTTTTAAAAATTATTTTACTATTGATTGCTCAATTGGCACATTTACCTATTTTACTACAGGTTACAAATCTGCTTATGGGGAACAAGCTAAGTAAACCTACTTGCTTCTAGTCCCAGGAGACAAGTCAGATAACCTCATAGTATCTCTAACTGGTACCGATGATCTCTCAGCAGTATGATTTAGTGTAGTTTGAAATGTATTCATAAGAAGATGCTGTAGGATCATAACCAACAGACATTACAGACTTGTAGTAAATTGTCACCAAAAATATTTGTCCGTAACCAAGATTGCTAATAATATGTGTATCAGCTGTGACCAACCTAATGTCTTTTGGATGTACACTAACTGGGAATTCTGAATTTGTGGTCCACTACAGCTACAGGATACCAGGTTGAGCAAAGCAAAGCTAATGTAAATTAATTTAAGCGTAAAGGGGTGTGAGAAGCAAAACCATGCACTGACATTGATTTACACCAGGAATATTTCAAGATTGCTTAGCACATTGTAAGCCGCCCTGAGTCTCCGGAGAAGGGCGGCATATAAATCAAATTTTTTTTAAAAAAAAAAGATGCTTAATGGAGTTTCTCTGGGTAAAAGAAAACCAGTGACAATAAAGGTTTATAATATTTTGTATTAAGGTTCATCATTCCAAACTTAGTAATTAAAACTTGTTCATTTTGGATCTGCACCAAAATAGAACCTGGTTTCAAAGATCCAAACTGATATTTTCACATGATCAAATTTTCTGGTTAAAATTGGAAAGATACAAAAGAAACTGATCTATATCCTATAATGCCTAGGCAAAATGGGGGGGGGGGCACTTTATGCCTACAGACTTTAGGGACAGAAATTAGATTGAAAGAGATGAAGGAGGGCATCTAACCTGCATCATCAGAGGAATATGATGAAATTTAACCAATGTCAAAAAATTCAAACAAGATTGAATTTAATGTTGAGGCCGCTATCGTACTTCAGACTCATGTGAAGACCCAGCTCTGTGGAAAAGGCTCTAATGCTGGGAAAAGAAAAGAGAAGGATGGACTCATCTCCTTCAGCTGAGTACTCTGTTGGGAGACAGGAAAAAAAACAGACTTGGGATCAATTATCTTGGAGAAAATCTGTATGGTTGCTAAGAGTCGAAAACAATTTGATGATATCTAATCAATTAATCATCAATCAATCCACTAGTGAGGCCACCAGAAAATTACAAAAGAAAGCAATGGCAAAATCTCTTCTGCAAAGAAAATCGAAGGGAAGGGTCCATATAGTCAACAGCAGCTAGGTTTAAAATGAGGACAATTTCTATAAATTTCCTGTTGTATTGGAAATTAAGCTTAAACTTTGCTTGCTTGGTTGGTTATTTGTTTCTTTATTCAGAGGAAATAATCTGCTTTTCAAAAAAAATATCTTTGAAAAAAATTGTACAAAATAATTAAAATTCTGTAATACATTACGGCAAAATGCTCTTGACATTTTGAAGCAGTTTCTAAGAAGCATCTGTAAGATGGAAGCACCAAAGCAAGGGAAAGAGTTTGTTATCACCGATACTTAGAGCTAATCATTGCAAATGGGCAATTAGAAATTATTGAACTGTTTGAAAAAAGACAGTTTGTCTTTCAAGTTTGTCCCTGTACCAGTGGTGAAATGCACTTACTTTCGCTACCAGATCGGAAATGTGAGTGTACGCGCCTCTTCTGCGCATACACGGAGCCTTCTACTTATCTTTACCGGTAGTAAAGGTAAGTAGAACCCACCCCTGACCCATAGATATATAATGTGTCCTTTTACAAGGGTAGAAATAAGTTATGTGTAGAGAGCTGTAGTAAGTGATGTTTCTTTTGATGAGTACTTTTTTATATATGTTTTCCTGGGAGGAGGGTGTAATTCTGTGTTTTCAATCTGCAAAGCTAGCTGTTTTATTTGTAAATAAATAAGTCAGAGTTTAGTAACATAGAATTGCATGGGCACTTTTCTTGCAGGCCATTTTTTAATCTTTGTTCAGCATATCCACAGAGCTGGGAGGCAAAGAATGCTACATGTCCCATCCCCTAGGGAGATACACCTAGTGGGACTCAGAAGGGCCTTCTCCATGATGGCTCCCTCCCTCTGGAACATCATTCCTCCAGAGATTAGAATGGCTCTTCCATGCCATTCTAGAACAGTGGCTAACACTCTTCCGGAAGGCAAAGACCTGATTTTGCCAGAGGGCCTGGGGAACGCAGAGCAGGATGGAGCCCATTAAATGGCTCATGTGATGTGTTGTTGCTGGGGTGGGTTGAATCACCATGTGTGAATAGGCAGCAATATAAATTTCTCTATAAATAAATAAACAAAACAACAAAACAAAACAAAACAAAACATCCATGTAGCTGGGCCTGGCTTAGAAGAGTCTGATCAGCAGAGAATAGTAATAACAAAGCATTGGGGCAGAATATTGATTATAAATTGTAATTAATTGCTAACACTGAGGTGTGAACTAGAATTATTTAAAAGGATGATGCTAGGTTTCTTCCTTAAGAGAGGATGTTCCAAAATCTTGAAACCACCAAGCCGTCAACTGTATTTAAGGTGGCCAAGGAATTCTGGATGAGTTCTTCCCTCCAGGCCTCAATGGTTGAAAAAGTTTAACCTAAATGAGTCAGCAGTGCTTCAGCTATCCTGAGCAGCAAAATCTTTTCCTTCCACTACATTCCAGGTGATCCTTGCTCTTCTCAATTAGGTGATCCCTTAAGATTGCTGTGATTCTGATGGTACCAATTTCATCTATTGTAGAAATTGGTGTTGGGCTTGTTGGCTTTGGGATGTTCTTCCTCCTGTTTGGTGTATTGTTGTACATGGATTCAGTGCTTCTGGCCTTTGGAAATGTAAGTATTTTTTAAAATGTCAAATATTTCGTGCAAAAAGGAATAATAAGCAGTGAGTATGATAAAATAATAGACTGATTTATTTATAAAAAAACTAAATGGTTTTGATGAGCCCACTTTACAAAGAACTTGCACTCATATACTTTTATGCTTTAAGGATAAGTGCATTTATTTATAAATAAAGTGATTTTTTAAAAAAATCAACCAGGCACATGAGCTTTGACTGCCAGATCAGAATTAGCCATTTTAACCCATTATAGAATTCAGTTTAAAATTGTACATGGTTTAATAAATATAAAAAATGTTGTAAGAATGGCTGCAGGGTGACAGTGTTTCAAAACATAGAATACATGTAGCTTCCCATATCAATAGTGATTCAACACCTGTTGCCATGGACTTGAAGAGGAGAAGATAAATCCTAAAGCTAGACATCAAAAATAGGACACTGAACTGTGAAATGGACTGGCAGGGAAGATGGGGAGAGAATGCTGGTGCAACAAAAAACGTTCACATCCACCCTGCATGAAAATGCTACTTCATCCATCCATTCATGAATCAATTTCTGCAGGAAAAATAAAAGCATTTTCTGGCATTTTGCATACTGGTTGATCTCTGCCTAAGAGAAGAGCAAAAATGATAAAAGTCTTGTCAAGTTCATCCCAGCTCCCTTTTCCTCACTAGGAAGTGGAAATAGCATGCAAATATTCCCAGCTCAGATCAATCCAATTGCACTTTGAGGTAACATCAGCAGGTATACATTTCTAGTGGACTTGTTTGAATTATTTTAAAAATGAACAGTTGCTATACAGGGGGACCTGTGAAGCTTTCATACCACCTTTCCTCTTGAAGATGATTTTTTTAAAAAATAGAAAAAATAGAACCAATGTTCCCTTTCCTACTCAACAGTATGAGATAGTTGGTCAAACAGAATATAAAATTGGTCTGAACTATATATAGGATTCAGCTTCCATTATTATTTCCATAAAACACCATATTATGTAAAGTTTGCTATTCCTCTTAAGATCGGGGCTTTGACAAGGCAAAGGGGCTTGTGTGGGTAAATGAAATCGTGGGCTATGTCATTGGACATGTATGTGTCCAGAAGAGTCTCCCAAGGCAAACAGGCTATGACATATACCCCAGACTAACATTGATTACATCTGCCAACCCGGATTGGACCAGCATGGCGTATTATCGTCTAGTCCTTCCACATGCCAATACACGTATTGGTGTATACCTGTATTAGTTGGAAACTTGCAGAAGAGGCCCTCATCCTGCAGTGGATAGACAATGGCTAAAATGATGGTGATGAATGATGATTCTGGCTACATTTCAATAAATCCTGAAATCTGTTCTTTGCTTCCTTAGATCTTGTTCCTGTGTGGCTTGGCTGTTATAATTGGATTAAGAAGAACTTTTGGATTCTTCTTCCAAAAGGAGAAGCTTAAGGGAACCAGTTTCTTTCTAGGAGGCATAATCATTGTTCTGCTTCGGTGGCCTCTACTAGGCATGCTGTTGGAGACCTATGGTTTCATTAATCTCTTCAGGTGATCAATCCTCCTAAAACCATTGCATTTGCTATGGGAAATTGTGTATGCAAAAGTTTCTGAGCTTGGTTTTCAGTCGGCTAATTCTCTGAGCTTGGTTTTCAGTCAAAAGAATGGAGTGGAAGTAAGACTTCCTTGAAGAAGAACAGGGATTGCAAGGAGAGCTTTTTGTTCTTTAGCCATGAATATTGGGCATTGAGGGCCCACACAGCCACCTGCAGGGTTGCCAATCAACACTACAAAAGATTAGGGAAATCTGAAAAAAGTGGGAAAAATAATCATCTGCAAATGTAAAACCAAGCTCTAAGAATTGATATAATCAAATCTGGAACAATATATATTCTGTAGTTTTTACTTTCAAGAAAAAATATTCATTCTGTCATATCTGATTTGGATCTCAAGTTCATTTCCAGTTGAATATTTTCATCAGTAATTAACTTTTTTCTTCTTTCTTTAGGAGCTTTTTCCCAATTGTTTTTGGATTTCTGGGATCGTTGGTGAATATCTCATTTTTGAACAAGGTAATGAAAAGCTGGGGTGATCCTGGGAGAAACAGGATTAGAGCGATAGAAATGCTGCACCTCTAAGCAGCCTGCCCTCTTCCATTGGGTCCTTGCTGACACACATTGGCTATGTCTTTAGCTTCTTTAATTGAGGATTCTGGGGGAGTCATTCCAACACATCTGGCTAGAGATCATTGGGAAAAGCTGCCCTTAAAAATACAATAGGAGACATTACTGAAACAGTCATTCATGCCCTGATCACTTCATAAGCTGACTACAACAATGCATTCTATGTGAGTCTCCCCTTGAAGACTACCAGTACTCTAGAATGCAGCAGCTTGTGTAGCCAAGGGCATGCTCATGTAACACTTCTGCTTTGTGAGCTGCACTGGTTACTAGTTTGCTTCCGGATATGATTCCAGATGCTGGTTCCCACAATATTGGATTAGCCAATTCAGTCTGGCACAGTTGGTACATTATGGGTTCTTTCAAATAGTCAATGCCATTTAGCCAGATCCCAGAAGGGCACCTTGTCTTTTGCAGCATCTGCCTTTTGGAATGAGATTGAATGGTTCCCACTCTGCTGGTATTTTGAAAGGGCCTCAAGACCTGGCTAATAATGCTGGTAGAGATGAATCCACAGCTTCATATTTTTCATTGATAGTTCACTAACATAAACCCAGTACCATTCAAAAAGTGGAGATTTTTCTATTGATCTCACAGGCAGATCATTCCAGTGGTGAAATTCAATTTTTTTTACTACTGGTTCTGTGGGTGTGGCTTGGTGGGCATGGTGTGGCTTGGTGGGCGTGGCTTGGTGGGCGTGGCAGGGGAAGGATACTGCAAAATCTCCATTCCCACCCCACTCTGGGGCCAGCCAGAGGTAGTATTTGCCGGTTCTCCAAATTACTAAAAATCTCCGCTACCGGTTCTCCAGAACCTGTCAGAACCTGCTGGATTTCACCCCTGGATCATTCCCTCTGCATACAATGATCTTAACAGTGTGATCATTAATTGAATCAAACAAATGTAATCTGTCATATATCTCTTCTTCTTTTATCCTAGTTACTGTAATTTTCATTCCATCATATAATTCTTTATAAAATTATTAGTATTTTTTTTCTTGTTGCAGCTGTTTCAGAAATTTGGAGACACCAGCTCTGCAGTGTAACTTGACTGAATGACTTGTTACCAGAGACAAGCTCCCTTCTTACAAGCACAGACATTTTTTATGAATAGCCTGCTACCTCAGTAGTACATTTTATTTAGTGCTGATTTAAATAATTGATATGATAACTGTCAGCAATGTACAAGGTAATTGGTAGAATCATTTCTTGTAAAACATATAATTATAATGAGGTTTCCATCTTCTGATGCCGGTTTATACCGGCATCGGAATTGATGTGACAATGCTGTTGATGATACTTCCAGGTATCATCGAGGTGTGTTTTTGTATATTTAAAAGATACAAAAACACACCTCGATGATACCTGGAAGTATCACACATTGTGTAACAATGACTTGACAGCAATGCATCCAGCATTTAAGACATGTCAACTTGATTGCAGAAATATATCTGAATGGGATCTTCAATATTCAAGCAAGGACTAACACACAAATCTAACTACCGGTATAAAACTAAAAAGAAAATAACTTGCTTTTATCTAAACTACATAGAGAAGGAGAATGGGAAACAGGAAGATCCTGTTGTCTCTTAAAATATAAAGATCCGCTTTATTAATAATAGACCAGGTGAAAACCACAGAGGCAGAATATGAAGAATCTTCCCCCCCCTTTCCTCTCCTCTCCTCTTCTCTTCTCTTCTCTTCCCCTTGTAATATCATTTGCATTAGCAATAAAAATCATGGATGCAGTAAGCAGTCTCCAGCAATACTGCCCTAGGGCCAATAATTTATATTATCTTCAGCTCTTTAAAATCTCTATCCAAAAGAGACAGTACTATAAAAAAAGGGAAGGACTTGGACAGATAAAATTAGAAATAGTAATTTAGCAATTTTTTTAAAAAAAGTAGAGTATAAAAGAACAACGTTTAAATATGTCCATTTCCCTGACAAATTTTTGCTATTCTTTTTTCTGTAGGCAAGTTCAACAGGAAAATATAGTGGGTACAAATATTATTCGGGGTTTCCTATTTCAAATCTTATGACAAAAATGATGCAGGGGACAGTTTTTGTATAATGTATATTTTGCAATACATTTTATGTATCAAAACAATTTGATCTCCAGTGCAACTTTGTGATCTTTGATATGAACTGAGTGGAACTGAAGAGGCTTCTGGGATGGGAAGTGAAACATTTTCAACAAAAGAACCAAGAAAGTCCAGTTGCCTTTTGAAAAGTAAATTTTGGACAACCATGATCTGGATAGTTGAGAATCTCCATGGACTTTGATACAAATATTTTTCATTTTTAACACTGCTAAATTGTAAAAGTAAATTAATTAAATGTCGTCTCAATCTCTGTATGTGTTAGATCACAAGACAAATAATAGTTCCGGAAAGGTAATCTCTAAGCCAGGTCAGAATTGCACTGCCTGTTTTTTTTTCCTTCCCAATAAGGAAAGAATTTAGGTAATTTGGTCAAAAGTGTAAAGATAATTCAACAGCAAGATCTTTGTTCCCAATTTTCACATTGTGCAAATTGTATGGATATCATCTCCGAAGGGTCTTCAGGGGCATCAAAAGAGTCAAGCAGGCAGGCACAATCATGCAATCAGACTCCTACCCTCATGCACCATACCCTCACCTTGGTATACAGGAGAATAAACATCCCACACACCCCATCTGGAAACATCTCCGTGTATTCTATACTCTTTCAAAATGCAGGTTATAGACCTAGCAGTTAGTTACTTGGTTCCTTATTCAATGATTAGAAATGAAGGAGAAGGGAGCATTTAAATCAGAGCAAATGGTAGTATCCTCATCTTCTTTGTTGCTGATAATTTCAGTGTAATAGAGCAAATTGATTCCAGCCTATTTATACCAATTGTTCTTGGCTGTAAAGAAAAGGAAAGCAGAATTATTTTGATCTGGTTGAAGAAAAGAAAGAGATGACGATTTAATGAAACAATGCTTACGGAAATAGTTTTGGGTCTACCCTTCAAGATACAATAAAGCTGCTTAGGCAGGGAAATTAAAAAATATAAACTGGAGGCGGGTCCATCTTTGCTGATGTCACCAGTAAGGGCATTCAATAATTCAGACCCCAGCCTTAAGAATGAGGTGAGAGCTATAGCAGAGATCATCTCATCTTCTTCCAAGAGATCAAGACTTTGGGCCTGGACATTGCAGGAAAAACTTAGGTAAGTAAAGCTAAGGATGTTGAAGCTGGCAGGTGGGTGGCAAACCTATACAAACACTTATTTATCTGGGAGTAAATCCACTAAAGACGACATGGTTGCAAATTATGCTAGAGAATTGTGCATATTTATTCAAAAGTTCGTTCTATTGCTTTAAATGGGATTCTGCAGAAAATGTTCATAGTTTTGGCTCCACTGTCATATTTCAAGTAGATAGCTCAGTATCGTATACCTCTCCTTCCCAGCCTCAAATGCATTTTTATCAATTGGAAAGTTTTTGGAAGTGGTGTAGGTTTCGGACTGTGGTTTTAGACTAAAGGCAGATTGTGATTTTTAAAAATGGTCTTGCTGTTACTGTTTAAGAGGAAAAAGAGCTTAGAAGTAGAAGCACTTAATACAGTATGTATTTACACATATCTGCAACTTTTGTGTTCCTTTTGCCTCTGGCCAAGCAGGGTTAGCTGGATTTGGAAAACATATGCAACCTGTTCATTAGTGGTGGAATGGGAATGAAAGTTTGTATGCTGAATAATGATCCCTCTGTTTCAAATCACATTTAATTCACTCTAATTAAATTTTCCCCTTGTATGAATGTATGCATACTCTCTGTGTATGCTCTATGTCTGCTTGTCTTCTTTATAATAGCTAGTTATAAATGTTTTCTGCTCTACAAGTTTGAAAACTGGTCTCAAGTCTTATTTTTTTCCAACAACATTCTTTGATCCTCACTGGTCAGGCAAACTCTACAAAGAATGGAAAACCTTGGCAAAACATTAGATGGAGAAGCTGTCTAGAAATGCTGCCTTCTCAGCTGAACCATAGCTTCATCTTTCCAGATGTGCACGGGCCAGGTTTCCACCCATGATCCCATTTTTCTGATCCACAGCTGTATTCTGTACTTTAAGGCACTAATAAATCACAGGACATTGAAGACGAGAAAGAGAATGACAGGTCTTGATCCACAATAATGTGTCAGTGCTGTGCCAGTCAGTGTATAAGGTTATTGCTTTGTGAATGCATTTTTTAAAAACCCTATTATGGTCTATCTAAATAACTATTTTTGCCACGCATTGGAATTTCTGTTTAGAGACAGACCATTAACTGTGTCATAATAAATTAAACTTAAATTAAGGGCTGTAACTACAATAATTAGTAATAATTAAAAGTAGTAAATCAGTAGGTAAAATAGCAAAGTAGCAAAGCAGAGGTAATATGTTTGTGTGATTGGACAACCAAAGCCAACAGGAAATGAACCAACTGTCAAACAGATTGACACTGGAACTTAACCAGAAGATTGGAAACCTGAGTTTAATTTTATATTCAGTTCACACTCAAAAAAAAAAAAAAAAACAATCCACCCATGCATGTACCATGCATACAGAGCTTGCTTCCTACCAATGATTCTGAGCCATATCAAACTGGAACTGAGTTTATTTTAGATATACTCTACTAAACATTTCCTCTATAACTACAGTGGGCATATTTCTTGGAAAAAATAAAGGACAAACCTGAAAAAGGGGCAACTCTAAAAGAGGTTCGTAAGGATAACAAACGTAGTTGTTTATAACTTTGCTTTACAAAAGAAAATTTAAGAGCAAAACCAAGAAAAAAATTATAAAAATTCATATTGTAATAAAAAATATGAAATCAAGCAGTATGTATAAATGTATCTTAAAAAGACAAATTAGTTTCCATATTTGTCACATGAATGTGAAAAATTGTGCATTAAATGGTACCATTTGTACAGTAAAAGTTAAATGACCCAAGATCTAAAGTGAGTTTTTGAAAAGTAAAACTAAAGGACAGCTTTCTGAAATAAAGGACTGTCCTTTATAATAAAGGATGTATGAATACTGTATATATAACCTGTTCCTGATGTCTATACCAATGTTTTTATCAAAAATAATTTTTATATGCAGACTTTAATTCTAAGTCATGGAATATTTTGAAACGATCATGCTTTCAAACAATAGTGTTTATCAAATTCATTACTATCTTCGTCCTATATAGAGAATATGAACTGCTTAGATTAATAATTTTCCCAATTAAGTAATATCCTTTAGTTGGGAAGCACAATTAAACACAGTGAATTCTTTTTTTCTTTTTATGTGTGTTGAGAACAGTGGTGGGTTTCTACCGGTTCGCCCCAGTGGTGGCGGCAATAGGCTCCACCCACCCGCCCGGACGTCATACGGATGCTCTGCACATGTGCAAAGGGTTCTGTGCATGCGCAGAAGCACCGCGTGCGCGCTCCCGGTTCCGAACTGGCAGTGAAGGTAAGTGAAACCCACTACTGATTGAGAAAGAGAGAAAATGATACTTTTGTAAAAAAATCAATTATTGTACCCTGTTTTCCCCAAAATAAGACATCCCCCGAATGTCTTATTGAGCGCATGGCAATAAGGATAAAAAAAAATATAAGACAGGGTCTTATTTTCGGGAAAACAAGGTAAATAGAGATGAATGATAAAGTATAACAAAGGCTTAGCTGAAAAAACTGAAGATTTGAGCCAAAGTAAGTTTGAGAGAGATGTGAAAAGTTAGTTACAAGTAACTAAAAGGTTCTTTTAGAGTCCACCTCCCATGGACTCTGTTTGCATTTGGCCAAGGGATGTAAACCACACTGTTTGGAAAACCCTGATCTAAAGTGTTCTGGCTTCCTTCCTTTTTTTTATCTTAGATCTGCTGCATTTCAGAATGAACCTATTATGTTCCCTGCTTATGTTCGTATTATTCTTCAGAGTTCAGTTTGGAAAACCTGCAGACAGCTATTATCCTCTAAAGAGCTTCTGGCCTCAAGGTAAGGAGAGGCAGTCTTGATGGACTCTTATTAGATTCAATCTTGTTGTAAACTTAGTAATGATCTGAAACTGCCTTGCAAAAGAATGTTCACTGCTATTTAGAGAACATACATGTGGTCCTTGTGTCACTGCATCCTGGAGCTGTGAAGAAATATAAAAAATGCTAAAGGCAGGGTGGGAGGAATGATCACCTGTCAGCAACTCTGCAAAGAAACAATCTTGTTTTGGGTTCCATCGACACCTAGTACACAAATCCCATGGCGGGGGGGGGGGGATTTGGTTTTGAAAAGTGTTAGGGGTGCTAATTGTGTTCTCAGATGCACTCTTGAATTATCTTTTCCTTTTCAAATCTTGCGCACAATTTAGCCTTACATCCAGTGGTGGGATTCAAGTAATTTAACAACCGGTTCTCTGCCCTAATGATTTCTTTCAACAACCAGTTTGCCAAACTGCTCAGAAAGTTAACAACTGGTTCTCCCGAAGTGGTGTGAACTGGCTGAATACCACCACTGCTTACAGTATATCCATGCTTTTCATCATTTCCCAGACCTTCAGTTCTGCCATGGTGAACTGGCAGGGCTTTGAATTTGAATTTGAATTTGACATTTCCTTTATCGTAATGGAAATGAGCCATAGAGAGGGGCTCCTCCGGGTGCCGTCAACCAAACAATGCCGACTGGCGGCCCCCAGGGGGAGAGCCTTCTCTGTGGGGGCACCTACTATCCGGAACGAGCTCCCCCAGAGATACGGAGGATCCCGGATCTGCGCACCTTCCGCCGCGCCTTAAAGACCTTACTATTTCACCAGGCCGGCCTGGCCTAATTTTCCCCCTCTTTTATAAAAGATTTTTAAAATTTTAAATATTTTTTAGTATTTATATATTCAATTTTAAATTGGTTTTAAAAGTTTGGGGTTTTAAATTTGTCGGGGCCAAAATTATTTAATTTGATTTTATTCCATTTTTTAAATTTTGTATTGTATGTGTTTTTATTGTTTGGCTGTGCACCGCCCTGAGTCCTTCGGGAGTAGGGCGGTATAGAAATCTAATAAATAATAATAATAATAATAATAATTTTTGCTGTGGCCCCACCCTCCAGAACATATCCCCCCTTGAAATGAGGTTAGCCTTTTGAAAAGCTCTCAAAACTTGCCTTTTTCCCCCCATCAGACCTACCCATTGGTTCATCATGTATTCTTATTTAACCCTCTTGTAATTTTGTTCTTACTTGTGTTTATTTGTATTAATTGACTTTTATATTCTGTTTTAATTGTTGGTTTTATTGTACAATCCCCGGTCACCCTGTGTGAGATGGATGTCCATATAAATTTGCTGATGATAGATAGATAGATAGATAGATAGATAGATAGATAGATAGATAGATAGATAGATGATGGATGGACAGATGGACGGATGGACAGCAGACAGACAGACAGATAGACAGACAGACAGACAGACAGATAGATAGATAGACAGACAGACAGACAGATGAGACAGAGACAGACAGACATGTTATTTTACAAGTTCTACCCTTCCCGGTCCTGATGCTTCTCCAAATATGTTCTCTCTATAAACTTTTCTTATTCTTTCTAGCTAAACCCTCCAGAGGCACAGCCAACTGGATCCACTGGGCTAATGACATCCCATGTTCTGAAAGGAGCTTCAGCTCTGCTGCAGAAGGTCTGAAACCCACAGTAACCCTTCTGTGCAAGCGGCAAGAGCATCAAATGCAGTTATGGCCAGGGACGCCTCCAACAAAAAGCAAGGGGGTTCCATTACTGGAAGGGGCATTGCTGTTAGAAGGGACCCAGGATCTCTCCACCTACAACTGGAATTCCTTTGGGTTAAGATATGGAAAGAGGCAAGCAGTAAAAGCCCAGGAAAAATCAAGAAAGCCTCAAGCATAATGGAGAGGGGGGTATACAGAGGAGGGGATGGTTTGAGATGGATCCCTTTTTCATTGTTCCAAAGTTATAACTACCGACATTCTTTAAATATTATTGTTGTTCAGTCTTTAAGTCATGTCTGACTCTTTGCTACTCCATGGACTATAGCAGTGATGGCAAACCTTTTAGGCACTGAGTGCCCAAACTGCGTGCACATGCCCAAACTGAAAGATGCATGCGAGCGCACAAATGTGTGCATGCATGCACGTGCACGGACATGCATGGACATGCAAGCATGTGCAGCAGTGATCGGAAGACCAGCTGGCCGGCAGGAGGTGGGGCATACAACACCGGCAGTGCGGCAAGAGATAAGATCTTTTTCTTTCGTGAGCTTCTGTTTTGTCGTTTGCAGGGAAACAGAAGCTTGTGAAAGAAATGCCACGGAGATCTGACCTGGGGCGATGGTGCACATGCCAGCAGAGAGGGCTCTGCGTGCCATCTCTGCATGCATGCCATAGGTTTGCCATCACGGGACTATAGCATGCTAGCCCCCCCCCGCCCCCTGTCCTTCACTGTTTCCCAGATTTGCCCAAATTCATGTTCATTGTATTTATACTATCTAACCATCTCATCCTCTGCCGTGCCTTTCTCCTTTTCCCTTCGAAATTCTTTGGCATTGCCCTTCTTTGGGATTGGAGTGCAAATCAATCTTTTCCAATCCTGTAGCCATGGTTGACTTTTCCGAACTTGCTTGCACATTGAGCACAGCCCTTTAACAGCATCGTCTTTTAGGATTTTAAATAACTCAGATGGAATACCGTCACCAAAGCTAACTCTTTGAGTTTTTAACCAAATAGGTTGAAAAATGTGCCATTCACGGATAAGCCAATTGTAAGAATTAAAGTGTATGGACATTTTGAGGTTTTATTTTTTACCATGTTTCATGCTATTTTGGTGAAAAATTGAGGCTTGGCTTTTCTACAGAAGGGCTTATATTGTATGTGGGATATATGGTACATGTTTTTTTTAGAATTAGTCATTGTTTCTTGCTTTCTTTAACACCAGGCATTACAATAAAAATAATTAATAAACCACATTAAAGTTAATGTATTACTTGTGTTAATTTGTGTGTAGTGTTATTTTGAGGCAAAAAAATTAAAACAGCAACAAAAAGGAATATAGCTATGAATGTGGTACAATTTACCATACAATTTTGACTATGTTGGGAATCTTAAGGCTGATTTATAATTGCCCACAACTACCCATAGCCATTGCCACATACCCACACTGCCCAGATGTTGATGGGTAAGCAGAGGCTGTACAGGGCTACAGTCAAGCTGACATAAACACCCCCTGAATCCCAACTGCTGGTTGTGTAGAGATATGTGCCCTCGGTGCTGACTGGTTCTGACTTCCTGCTGGGAAACAGGGGAAGGCAAGGCATATTCACATGGGAAATGTTAAAATTCGCTGATGTATAAAAAGAACACCTATGCAACCATTCCTGAACAAGAGATGCATCTGTTCCCCCATGTGCAGTCAGTGCTGGAGAAGTCTGCTCCAGCCTTTCCTCAATGAATAACAGTTTGGATTTTTTTTCCCGAATTTTGTAAATTGAATTTGGTTCAACCTTTAAGAAATATTCTAGGAGAGCCTTGTTTTGTGCATAGTACCTTTGTTTGTTGGCTAGGGAATTCTGGGAATTAAGGTCCACATATCTTAAAGTTGCCAAGTATAAAAAATGCTGCTGTAGGAACTGCAGAATAGTCCATCAATTGCCCCTTATCTATTAAGGCATTAGTGGTGATTGATACTAACAAGAGCCAATGAAGTCCTTTTATTCAGTATGCATCTGAAACACGAGGGAAAGGAGGAGGACAGCTTTGGGGTGCCTAATTGACTGTTGCTTATGATGGAACCAGCAGGAGACAAAATACACAAAAACAGACTCCCACATAGCATATCCATGTACCTTTCATCTATTAGCAGCAATTGGCAGGGATTTGAATTTGAAGAACAGTTGCAGAATTTGTTTGGTTTAATGAAAAAAAGGATAGGGGTGACCTGATAGCAGTGTTCCACTATCTGAGGGGCTGCCACAAAAAAAGGGGGGGTCAACCTATTCTCCAAAGCACCAAAGAAGCAATGGATGGAAACTAATCAAGGAGAGATCAATCTAGAACCTAAGGAGGAATTTCCTAACAGTTAGAACAACTAATCAGTGGAATGAGTTGCCTCCAGAAGCTGTGGGTGCTCCAACAGTGGAGGTTTTTAAGAAGAGATTGGACAACCATTTGTATGAAATATACAGGGTTTCCTGCCTGAGCAGAGAGTTGGACGAGAGGTCCCTTCCAACTCTGTTACTCTGGCCTCTTTCACAGTTCAAGTGTCCTTCCCTTGCTTTGCCACCCCACTGGGACCTACATGCTCCTTCCCATCCTCCACTCATCAGAATCGCACACTTGTCTTTGAAGATCTCCAGAGGTCAGGGTAAGGAAGAAGGACAGGCCACTCTGTTGCTGAGCCACATGGCACAATCTCACAAGCAGCCATCTCTTTTTGAGAGACAAATAACGCAGGTGAAGCTAAGGCTAGCGTTAGTGTGGAAAAGAAAACCTCTTGGTTAGCTTTTCCTCACTAATATTAGTGATGCTAATGCTGGAGGGCCTAAGGAAATGAGGAAGTGAGGAAATGAAAACTGAGAGGTTTTCCTTTCTTCACTAACACTAGCGAAAATAACACTAGTGAATGTCTCAGTTTTTATTTCCTCGCTAATGCTAGCCTTAGCTCCGCCAGCATTGGCATCACTAGCATTAGCTAGTAAAAGAAACCAAGACCAGCTTTTAATAGTTTAATAGATTCTGGAGACGTTCTGAAGTTAGAAAGTGGAGACATGAATCTCAACAAAACAACTTCTACTTCCTCCCGTATGGGAAATTTGGAAGTCCCATGGGATAGATATATAAAGTGTCATTAGAATGACAAATGGTGGTTGGGGCGGGGGAAAAAACCTATTTAGACATGAAAGGTTGACCAGATTAATGAATCAGTTTTGACCAAAGATCTTGCTCCTAAAGTCAAGTCTTTATAAAAAGTCTTTCTCCTACTATTGGAACTGTAAGTTAGAATGTTCCAAAACCATGGTTTGCTGTACATGCCATAATAGTGATACTAAGATATAATGGGTAGGCATCACACTTCATAAAGCAAAACTAATAGTTATATTTGAACAGGGCACTGACACAAAGGATAGCTAAGTTGTTAAGGCATGTGTCAGTATTTTCTGGGTAACAGCTTATATTAATTTCACCCCACCAGAAGGCTCCAGACAGCACCATCTCTAAACTGGCTGGTGTTGGAGAAAACTGATTTGTACAATTAACAAATGGTAAAAATTGTAAATGGTTAGGGTTAGGGTTAGGGTTAACCCTCTGGATTCCAAAAATCCAGCTGACTATTTTTTTTTTTAATTTGATTTATATGCCGCCCTTCTCCGAAGACTCAGGGCGGCTTACAATGCGTTAAGCAATAGCCTTCATACTTATACAATATTGTATATTTGTATATTTATACAAAGTCAGCTTATTGCCCCCACAATCTGGGTCCTCATTTTACCTACCTTAGAAAGGATGGAAGGCTGAGTCAACCTTGAGCCTGGTGAGATTTGAACTTGCAGTAATTGCAGGCAGCTGGTGTTAATAACAGTGCTTTAGTCTGCTGCGCTACCAGGGCTCCTTAGATAGATATGCAGTTATAAGAAACCCTAACTCTCTGCTACCAACTAGAGGTCATCTGGACTTGTGCAGCCTAGAATTGGAAGTCCTACCTTTGCTGCTTGCAATAACATGGTTAGAATGCCCTGAGGTTGAAGTTATGACATGCTCTGCTTATGCTACATTTTATTTTAAGAACATGTATTGCACAGATGAGGCTTTTTATCAGGAAGCAAACAACAGAAGAAGAAAAAAACCCAGTAAGACCTAATGGAACAAAGTATTTCACCGCAGGTGTGCCAGCAGAAGTTGTGCAATCGGACACTATGGGGATGGAAATAGATGACCTTGAAGCAAACTGATTCTAAAATTCTATGGTTCTAGGAGTTACATATGCTATTTAAACCTTAAACTTTTCATTTCTATTATATCTCTGAGACACTGGCACAGTTTGCTTCCTTTGCTTCTATTGCTGTTCCCCCAAGCTACTTGAATTATTTCCTTCCTCATTAAAATGACATGGCTTAAATAGCTCTAAAGCACAATGCTGCCTTTGAAAGCCTGGTTTGGATCCTTTAGATTTCTCCCTAGGTCTCAGCTGTTAATTTCTAAGGAGCTAGTTTAGCTATTGGAGGAGACAATTGAAAATACATTTTTTAATGAGACATTTGAATCCAGAGGACTATCCTGTCCTGGGAGAAGGTGCAATAGATAAATACGGTACACACAGACAATTCTCCCAGCGGGTTTAACAATCTTGTTGGATGTGAGTTTCCTAGCAGTACATAAAAGATTATATAAATGAACAATTGTCAGTTAAAATTATCTATTTGGCATTGGTTCTTCCCTGCCATGTTTTTCAATTAATGTGGGGAATGTATGACGGAGATAGGCAAAACAAAGTCATCAGGATAGTGGCTTATATACCCTATTGGCCATAGTGGCTAATTAAGAGTCCAACAGTATCTGGAGAGCCCTATTTCCCAGTCCACAATTACGTGATGTATTACCCAACATCAATAAACTTTGAAGACAGTTATATTTTTGTATACATTTTTAAGGAGTCTAATTCATCAGCCCCATTCAGGGAGCAAATGTGTGCATGGCTGCACACAAGGTGTAGATTCCTCTTTGAGAATTGTAAAAGAGTTATTGGCAAGGAAAAGTTGTGCCTATTCAACTAGAGATTAACTATAGGTCCACTGAGCACAGTGATTTTATAGGGTTGCCAGGTGTCCACTATTTGAGCAGACAGTCCACTTTTTTCACATTATGTTCACTATTTTTTTTCACAAAATAGTGGACATTTTTTTTTATTCAAATACTTTATGATGAAATGGTACGTAATCTAAAGCTGTACAGTCTAAGAGAATAAGAATAGGAGAATCGTGTTTTGTTTTGTTTTTCATAAAT